GGCTGACGTTTTGGGCCTAGACCCTTCTTCATTTTCTGAAGAAGGGTTTAGGCCCGAAACGTCAGCCTTCCTGCTCCTCTGATGCTGCTTGGCCTGCTGTGTTCATCCAGCTCTACACTTCGTTAATACAGAATTAGGTCACAGGTTAGCCATTGTGTGGTGGAACAGGTTGAGGTGCTAAATGTTTGTCCCTATTCTGTGACTGGGTAAACCACATTTATAATAATAGCACCGAGAATAAGTTCAAGGAATGCATTCAAGATCAAGGTTCTGGATCAATGTTTTGAGAAACTATCTAGGTTTCAAGCTATGTAGATCTGATACTGTGAAATGAAATCTGGTTATTTCATAACTATTTAGCAAGTGAGCATTTATGGGAGGGTGATTGTAACATGATAGAATTTTTAGTTAAGTGCAAAACTAAAAATCTGAACAAAGGAAACTTAAGTCAGTATGAGGGATTGACTAAATTGAATTGGGAAAGCAAATTAAAAAAATAAAAGATGGTAAACAAAGGCAGTTTAAAGAATGAATTCACAATATGTACATTTGTATCTGTCCTCTGGATTTGAATGTAGTAAACGTAATACCATTTTTCAAGAAAGAAAGGGACAGCGTAAGGAACAAGGAATTCTGAATTTATTCTTCAAAATCCAGTTGCTTATCTCCTCACATCAACAGTAGGATTGATAACAAGAAATGTAGAAAATCATAACTTGTTTGGACAGAGTTAACAAAGACTTGTGAAAGAGAAGTCATGTTTCTCAGGTCAATCTTTTTGGAGTTGTGAGTGGCATGGTAGATAAGAGGAATCAATGGACGTAACTGTTTGGATTTTCAAAACATATTCAATAAGGTGATTACATAAGATTGAGGCTAATGGAATTGGGAGTGATTATGTTAGTATGGATTGAGACTTGATTAATGAACAGAAAACAGAGGAGCAACAAACAGTTTTTGGGATTGTAGGCTGTAACTAGTGGGATACTGCAAGAATCAGTGCTTGGACCTCAGCTTTTTACCAATTGTAACAGTAGCTTAGATGAGATAAAGGACTGAGTTTGTAATGTATCCATGTTTGCTGATGATACAAAGTTAAGGAGGGAAAGTCAGATGTAGGAGGAGCAAAGAGGATAGAAAGGGATAAAAAAATTGCTAATTGGCTAAGAACATGGTGATGGAATGGAATGTGAAGAAGTGGTTAAGTTTGCCACTTTGGTAAGAAATATAAAAATATATAATATTTTAAATGGTAAGAAACTGGGAATTGTTGATATTCGGAGGGATTTGTCCTTATGCTTTAATCACAAAGTTAACATGCAGATACAGCAAGCAACTAAGAAGGCAAATGGTGTGTTAACATGTATTGTGAAGGGTTTGGAATACAACAATGAGGAATTCTTAACAGCATTTATAAGGAACTTTGTTAGTTTGCAACAGAAGCACTGTATTTGATTTGGTCTTCTTAACTAAAGAATGATGTCCTATTCAAGGAATGAAGGTTCAGTACAATTTCTGGGATGGGACACTGTTCTATTAGAAGAATTTAATTAGGCCATGCCCCAGAATTTGGATAAAAAATTGATTGTGTTGAAATATAGTGTTTTGAAGGAGCTTTACAGGGTTGATGAGAGGATATGGCCTTGGATGAGATAGTACAGAATGAAGGGTCATTGTCTCAGAATTAAGAGAACTGCTATTTAGAATTGAGATGAGAAATGTTTTCACTGAAAGAGTTATGAATCTTTGGAGTTCTGTACCCCAGAGAGTCATGGATGCTCAATTGTTCAGTAAAGTCAGGACAGAGATCGATAGATTTATAGACCCCAAGAGAATCAAGAAAGATGCAGTTGAGGTATAAAAAATCAGCCATGATCTTAGTGAATGGCAGAGAAGGCTGGCAGATCCAAATGACCTATTTGTTAATTTTAGCAGAATCCAACACAGTTTAACAGTAACATTCCCTGGAATTTTTATTTTCCATTGTGCAATCCCCGAGCAGCAGCTTCTACATTGGAAGTCAATGCACTGGCATGCGTGAATCTTCTGGTAGCGCTGCAGCTTACAAGGATATGTAACTGAATATTGTTTAGCAGAATCCAGTGAATTTCAGCAGAACTTGATCAATTTTAGCAGACTGTTGTTTTCATAATTGTTAAAGGGTGATCCAATTGGAATTTGCCTTCAAATTTCACATGAGTAACTAACAACTGTCTCAACCAGAGAAAGAAGTTATCCAAACGTGGGAGCTCAGGGTCCCTTTTCATGTTGACTGGTGGCACTAGGGGAATAGGGAGAGGTGGGTAATGAGACTAAGAAGTTGAACTCTGCACTGAGCTTTCCAATGAACCAGATATCCCAACAGAAGGTGAAATTATTACATCTTCCAACATATTAATTCAGCTATGGAGAGCTGTTGGTTTGGATTTGAAATGGTTCTCACCGGATCTGATCCTCCTAATGGTGTTTTAAGTTGTTGCAGGACAAAGTGTTCTGGCTATCTGAAGAATGCCATTTACAGAAGGCCATTTTTCATTTTCCCAGTTACCATATTATTGTCCTCTGCCCTCCTGCAGGGACCTGCTCGAAACTCTATGGTCAATGGGAGATCTTACCCAGCCAGTGTCAGAGCTCCACGAGCAGGCTCGGTGCCACCAGTGAAGCATAGGCGGTTAAATTGGATCGATGCCCCAGGCGACGTCTTTTTCATGGCAACTGATGAAACCAGGTAAGACTGTGAAAGGTTTCCAGCCCTAAGCAGATCAACGTTGACTCTTGGCAACTTACGTTATGCAAGAGTCTCAGCATCAATGCCATCATACTCTCCTCCCCAAAAGAAAGCATGGTAGCATTTGTTCATGGAGAAACCAAGGTGAAGATACCATTAAGATGAAAAGGAATGTTGAGGGAATTCAGAAAGACCAGTAAAGATCAGTAATATCTCACTATTGTCAATACACTGATTTCAAGTCCAGAATTTACAAAAGATGCAATTCTTTCCCTTTCTCTGCCTTCCTTCCTTCCTGCTAAGAAAATTTGCTATCAGTCCTATGAACAGTAATTTGAAACTCCCATAATTATGGTTGAGCAGGCTGACGGTAGCCCTGTTCTTGTCACTTAGGTTTTTTGAGTTATTGTGGTACTTCCAGATTGGAGCTGGAGGCTAGTACTGTCTTCGTGTTGTAACTGACTTTATACTGTAACTATACCACAAAATAACAAGTAACGTTCAAATGTCTAGGAGCTTTTCCACTGGTGGAATTGTGGCAGAATTAGAGCCCTTTGCAGATATGATATCATTATTGTACATTGTTGAATGACAGGCAGCAGGTAGGCGTTGGCCAAGAAAAGGAGGCAGAAGGACTCATACATACTTATGTGGGAGGGGCAGGAGACATTTCAGATCATTGTTCAGTTACTACTAGATAGATAGGCATATGTAAATCATCAGATTGCAGAGAAGGTACATAGCAGATCCCTAGCAGAGAAAACAAGTCTCTTGAACAATCTGGTCATTAGCAAGCCCAGAGGATGCCGATAGTGGGCGATTCAGTGATGGTAATGCTATTGAATGCTGGGGGGCGACAGTTGGATTCTCCTTTGTCGAGATGATCATTGCCGAAAACATACAAGCAACATACATGGATGCAAATCTCACCGAATATGGACATGGACTGTTTCAGCATCTGAGGCATCAAGAAATCATGTCCTGGAGCTGAGATGATTGACCACAAACAACCACAATCATCTTCCTTTGTATTAAGTATGACTGTTACTCAGAGAGTGGTCAGGGCGTGGAATGCATTGCCGGAGAGGGTAGTGGAGTCGGCCTCATTAGGGTCATTTAAGCGGCTATTAGATAGGCATATGGATGATAGTATAAGGTAGGGGTGGAGGTTAGATAGACCTTAGGTTTAGGGTAAAAGTTTGGCACAACATTGTGGGCCAAAGGGCCTGTACTGTTCTATGTTCTATGTAACCAGAGGAGAGTTTTTAACTGAATTCACATTGACTCCAGTTTTGCAAAGGCAGTCACTCTCATCTCACCTCTGGAATTAATCTCTTTTATTCATGTTTGGACCAAGATTTTAATGATGTCAGGAGTTTAGTGGCCTTCAAACTGAGCATCAGTGAGTAGGTTATGCAGCTATTGCTTATTAGCACTGTTGACAGCCCTTTTCATCACTTTGTTGACGATCGAGAGTACACTGTTAGGGTAGTAACTAGCCAGATTGGATTTGACCTGCTTTTTGTAGAGTTGACATATCTGCGTTATTTTCCACATTGTGATGTGGATGCGAATGTTGTTGCTGTACTAGATCAGCTTGGCTCAAGACAAGTTCTGGAGCATAGATCTTTAGTGCAATTGGCAGAATGTTGCCAGGGGTCATATCCTTCACAATGTGAAGTGCCTACAGCCACTTCTTGACATCAAGTTGAGTGACCTGTGATGCTAGGGACTTCTGAAGGAGGCCGAAATGCTTCAGCCTTCTCTTTTGCACTGATGAGTTGGGCTGATCTATTGTTGAGAATGGGCATATTTGTGGAGTTTCTTTTTCTGTTATTTCACTATTAGTGACCAAGAGAGGCAGGACTGTAAAGCTTACCTCTGATTTTTTTAAAAAAAGAACTGCACATGATGGAAATCAGAAGCAAAAACAAAGATTGCTAGAAAAACTCAGCAGGTCTGCCCACATTTAATGTTTCTGAAGAAGCGTCACAGGACCTAAACTATTAACTCGACCTCTCCACAGGTGCTGCCAGACCTGCTGAGTTTTTCCAGCAATTTCTGTGTTTGTTTTGGACTGGGATCTGTTGGTTTGTAGCATTGCTTAGCCCTGTCTTTTGCATGATGCTTTGTTGTTTAACGTATAAATAGTCCAGTGTTGTAGCTTCACCAGTTTGACACTTTATTTTTAAGTTCTGCACCTAGTATGTCTTCCTGCATTTCTTATTGGATCACGGTTGACCTGCTGGCTTGATGTTATTGTCGAGTGGTGGAAATGTCAGGCTATAAGGTTATAATTTGTGCTTGAACATATTTCTCCTGCTGATGATGACCCATAACATCTCATGGATACTCGATTTTCAGTTTCTAGATCTGCTAAAATCTGTAAGACTGTCCTATTTAGCAAGGTGGTACTGCCACACAACACAGTGTATCCTCAGTGTGAAGTAAGAGATTGTTTCCACAGAGACTGTGCAGTGGTCACTTTTATTGATACTGTTATGCACAGACACCTCTGCAAAAGGTGAATTGGTAAAGATGAAGTCAAATAGGCTTCTTTCCTTTCTTGTTAATCCCTGGATCATCTATTACACATTTTGCCCTTTTGGACTCAGTCAGTAGTCCATGATCAAGTCAATGAAGGACGGTGAATTCTCCTACTCTAAGTATGTGCCCTTGCTACCTCAGTACTTTCACCAAGTAGTGTTCAACATGGAAGAATACTGATTCATCAGCCAAGGGGGCTGCCAATATGGTAATCAGGAGGTTGACAATACCATGAGATTTCATGCCTCTGGAGTCGATGTTGAGGACTCCCAGGACAACTCTGTCCCAACTGTATCCCTGGTGAGTTTATCTTGTTGGTGGGACAGGAAATACTGAGGGATGGTGGCGGTGTTCTGAGATATAGACATACTCATGTAATCATACCTTAGAGACAGCATCATGCTGTTGATTGACTCATCTGTTGGATGGCTCACACTAAAATGACATAAGCCGCGAAAGGTTAATCAGGAGTGCTTTGCAGGATTGACAGGGCTGGTCTACCCTTGTCTTTTTCAATGCACAGATCAATTCCAGGTGATCCACCTAATTTCATTCCTTTCTTAGACTTTATAGTGGTTTGCAGGCTACTTTAAGGGTCCGGAGTTACATGTGGACCACAGTATGGACTGTAGACTTTGTTCCCTAAAGACATTAGTGAATGAGTTGATACAGCATAGAGCTGGAGGAACACAGCAGGCCAGGCAGCATCAGAGGAGCAGGAAGGTCGATATTTCGGGTCGGGACCCTTCATCAGGACTGGGGAGGGGAAAGGGAGCTCAGAAATAAATAGAGGGAGGGCAGTGGGGCTGGGGGAAGGATGGGGATGGTGATAAGTGGTTGCGAGTAGGGAGTTGTGGAGATTGGTCAATAGGAAGGGTGAGGCAGATAGGTGAGAAGGAAGATGGACAGGATGGACACAACCTGGGGCTCTGAATTACTACTCCAACGACATTACCTCCCCCTCCTTGCTGACCTATATTAACTCTTGATCAAGCAATGTCTTGATCTTAAAATACTCATCTTGTTTTCAAATATTCTCAGTTCCTTTACACCTCCCTATGTTTGTATTCTCTCCTAGTTATACAAACCTTGGAGTCATTTGCATTCATTTAATTCTGGTTTGTTCAGCATCCCTGATTTTAATTATGCCACCATTGGTAGTTGAGAGTTCACCAAAGGATCCAACTCTGAATTCCCTCCCTGATACAAAGCAGTAGGAAGTGGTTAAAGAATATAGTGAGCATTCAGTGTGCACTGTTACCCATAACGCCAGAATTTTTTTGGAAAGTCTAGGCTCCATTTGCCCTCTCAGTGGGTCATAAAAACTCCAGTGCCAACATTTAAAGAAAAGCAAAGAAGTTCTGTCATGGTCTTGGCCAATTTATCCCAGTCCAACAGCACTGAAACACACAGTGTGATATTTCCCAAGTTGTTGCAGTGACTACCCTTCAAATGAAAGGAAATGATTAGGCATTGTCCTTCCAGTCATGGGATAGTTCTGTCTTGTAGTCAGCAGCAAACCAAGGAGAGAAGCAGCCTGTGATTAGAAGAGTAGCAAGACAGTTATGCTGATGCTGGGTGGTTTCCGGGGAGTAGCTATCACTATGAGCAGAGAGCTGGGTCTGGGGAAGGGCAAAGCAGGCACAGAGCTGGCAGCGTGGAGTGACGTCCAGGAATGTGGGCCACCTGGAACTGAGGATGTTGAAAGGGCATAGAGTGTCACCATTGGAAAAAGGCTGAGGCCAGAATTTAAATCTGAGATTGAGGTCTGAAATGCAGTTAATAGAGTTGCAACTGTCTGGTAAAAATGTTCTAGCTTTTTGCATGTTTCATGGAAGCTAATGAGCTGTGTTCTTGCCTGTCTTTGGTAGGTGTGCTTAGGGTGATGAATTTTCTTGTGTAGAAGTCTGTCAGTTATTTCGAAAAATACTTATGCCTGTTATCTTGTTTCAGTTTAAATACAATGGCAATTTATTGTCACGTGTATTTTTACAAAAAACAGTTTTATAAGTTACCATACCACGGTGCCTAAATTATTAACAGAAGTCATAAATAAGAAGGAGAAAAAAGTAAATGTTCATCATAGTTCAGTTAATGGCTCCTGGATTCCAGGTCCGCAGCGAAACAGGGCGGAGACTGCCACGCAGGGCTGGGCCGAGACCACCCGCTATGCCAAGACTGGACCTCCATGCTGGTCCACTGGAATACCTGATAGCCGCTGAAGAAGCCCTTCACACTGGGACCAGACTGCCACACCGGGACAAAACTGCCACACCAGGCCGAGGCCAACCCTCCTGGTCAAGACTGCCACACTGGGAGACTGCCCCACCAGGCGCCAGGCCTGTACCGCCATTCTGGGCGGCTGGAAGCCACATCATTGTTGGGCCTGGGAGAAGACGCCTTCTGACAAAGTCGTTAAAAGAAGATAATGTACCATAATAAATGGAAACATTTTTTTAAAAAGCATAGAAAGAGAAAAGAAAGTAAAGTAGACGGAGTAGACATATCCAGGCTCCTGGACTGAGGAGCTAATACCTTGCCCTGCTACTCTGTCGCCATACTGTGGTGCATGGAAATTAATATTTTCTTTCTATGTTGTGGCTTTATGTTTGATAGATAATTGATAATTATTGAGGATACTGTTGAATTACCTTTTTTGTCTGGAATTTTGACTTCCTGACCAACAGACCACAGTCAGTAAGGATGGGTGACAACACCTCCTCCACGATAATTTATCAATACCAGTGCCCCACAAGGCTACATACTCAGCCACCTATTATTACCCCTTATACACTCACGATTGTATGGCCAAATTCCACACCAACTCCATTTGTAAGTTTGCTGACTACATCACCATCAGATCTCAAACAACAACAAGACGCAGTCAGGGAGCAGATAAAGTGTTTAACGGCATCGTTTAAAGACAACAATCTTTCCATTAACATTAGCAAAATGAAGGAGCTGGATATTGACTTCAGGAAGTGGAATGGAGGGCATGCCCCTGTCTACATCAGTGGTGCTGAGGTCAAGAGCGTCAAGTTCCTGGGAGTGGCGATCACTAACAATCTGTCCTGGTCCACCCACTACGGTCAAGAAAGCACAGGAATACCTCTACTTCCTCTGGACTCTTACAAATTTTTATAGATGCACCACAGAAAGCATCCTATCTGGATGGATCACAGTGTGGTATAGCAAGTGCTCTTCCCAAGACTAAAAGAAACTTCAGAGAGTTATGAACACAGCCCAGTCTATCATGCAAACCAGCCTCCCATCCATTGATTTCATCTATACTTCCCACTGCCTGAGGAAAGTAACCAGTGTTATCAAAGACCCCTCCCACCCCAGTTATACTCCCTTCATCCTCTTCCGTTGGACATAAGATATAAATGTTTGTATACACTAAGGAACAGATTCAAGAACAGCTTCTTCCTTGCTGTTATCATACTTTTGAATGGACCTCTTTAATGTTAATGTTGATCTTTCTCTGCACCTTCTCAGCAACTGTAACATTGCATCCTGCACTTGTTCTGTTACCCTGATGCACTTGTACAGTATGACCTGCCTGTAAAGCACTTACGACAAAACTTTTCACTGTACCTCGCTCCACATGACAGTAATAAGTCAAATCAAATCAATTATTCTAATTTTGCTTGTGAGTCCAAATACCCCTTTTTCAGCACAAATATAGAAGGTAGTTACCACGTGACAGCATCACCACCTAAGTGAGTTACAAAGAATCAAAAAATAACCCTCAAGAAATTCTCAACAACAGCTTTAAAAAACGAAAAATTATTTTGACACCTGATTAACAGTCTTCATTACAGTGGAATCTATGTTTTTTCCCAAGTGAAGTAGCTCCTACTTATGTGCCTCTAAACTAGTTATTCCACATTTATTTTGCAAAGAATTCATTACTTCAAGAAATTTAAAGTTTTCTTGGATTCCAGTTATTTCTTTGTTGACAGGATTAAAAGTCTTTTCTCTTCTGTGGCAGCCTCCAACCCCCCACCGCCCCGTAACTCTATTTTGCAGCCTCCTTCTCTCTCTTTGCATCTCTTACCACCTACTCCCTAGAAACCTCCAACCCTCCTGGAATCATCTCCTCCTCTAACTGCTGCATTCCCTTGGCAAAAACCCTGACCCTGGATTCAACAGATGGTGCTTTTGGATTCAGCAAAATGCCTTTTGGCCTTGGCAATTCACCTGCATCCCAGCCAATGCCTGTGCCCCTACCCCCAATTTTCTGAATGGTGAATCGAGCCAATCAGAGGCTGCTTCTCTCTCACGTTTGCTGCTGATAGGTTTATAAGTGACATGTGATGTCTAGCACACAAAGCTATAACATTATTCCGTACTGGTGCTATAAAACCACCTGACTGGAATAATGTTTCATACTTCATAGCAATTCTTGTACATCGAAATAATGCCACAGTAAGATGTAAACAGATAATGCTGGCGGCACGGTGGCTCAGTGGTTAGCACAGCTGCCTCACAGCACCAGGACCTGGGTTCGATTATACCCTCGAGTGACTGTCTGTGTGGAGTTTGCACATTCTCCCCGTGTCTGCGTGGGTTTCCTCCGATGCTCCGGTTTCCTCCCACAGTCCAAAGATGTGCAGGCTAGGTGGATTGGCCATGCTAAATTGCCCATAGTGTCCAGAGATGTCTAGGTTAGGTGGGTTAGACATGGGGAAATGCAGGGGTAGGGGAATGAGTTGGGGTGGGATGCTATTCGGAGGGGTGATGTGGACATGTTGGGCCAAATGGCTTGTTTCCGCACTGTAGGGATTCTATGATAACATGCAAGGCAAGCATCAATGTATAATGGAGAGTTGATCATTATTGAGCGTATCATGTGAGAGGCCAAATGCAGAAGGTTATGACACCGTCACTGAATAAATGAGTTAGTGAGAATCAAAAAGTAGCCCTCATGGAAGAAAAATTATTTTGACCCCTGGTGCTATATAAATGCAAGTTTTTTCTTTCATTGAACTTGCATCATAGTTCAAGTGTGGGAAGCATTAACCAATTGTCATCCTGACAACACACAGTGTTTAACTTTCAGCATGATTTGGTCTCAGTAGGCGTATTGATAAGCACCCATATATTGTTTTACAGGAAGATCCGCAAGTTACTTTCTTCCTTTGAGAGGAGACGGAGTGGGAGAAGGCCCCAAGCTCAGATTGCCATTGAACAGTGCCAACCAGACCCAGCAAAAGAACCAAGGTCTCCCCTCAGTGATGAGCCCATTGTGATTGAAGATTAAGGAAAAAAGTCAACATCATTCATCTGCTTGTATTTCACCCTGACAGTGTTGGCTTCGCCCAGAGGAAAGGGAACTGTATTTGTTTTCTTCTGAAAAAAAATTTATAAAGTATCTTTGTAGCAGTGCTCTCATCTGAAACTGAGACATCAGTTATTAGTTGGTTATCTGCCCTTCCTATCATTTGTTTTCTGTCATTGGACTTACAGAAGGAAAAATTTATGTTGATAAAAAATCCACAACCTCAGGATGTCTCAAAGTGTTTTACAGCCGATGAAGTAACTCTTGAAGTGTAGTCACTGTTGTCTGTATGGAAGTGTGGCAATCAAATTGCGGACAGGTCCCACAAAGCAAAATGAAATGAATAGACAGATGTTCAGTTTTAAGGATATTGGTTGAGGGATAAATGTTGGCCAGTCTGGAAAGAATTCTCAGTACCTGTTCACCAGCTCTAAAGTCAATTTAAATTATTAAGGTATAAGACAGAAAGCAAAATTTTATTTTCAGATTTGGTCTAGTGAAGATCAGAACTTGAGTCCAAATGGATATCTTATGGTTCTGAGGTGAGCCGTTCTAATCCGTCACACTGTGTTTTTAGTTTTCATTATGAAGTTTTGCATTCTTGAAAATGTCAGCTGCTCAAAGCTTTCTGCTTCATTCAAAAGGGAAAGCCAAGAATTTATTTCCTCCTTTCCTCCCCACTGATGGTGCCTTGCAGTTCTAGGGTGCACTGCCCAAAGTCACCTGCTGCATTTCCATATCCCTCTTTCACATCACAATTGAGGTGCAATGAAGGGTCCTACCTGAGACAGCAACACACTTTCCTGTTCCACACAGTGATTGACTTGGCTATTTTCAACATTAGTGGTGGGGAATTGGTATTTAAAGCTCTCATTTTGACCCCTTCTTCCAAAAGTCCTAATCTCTTCATGATATATAGTTCTGCAGAAGCCAGCACCTCTTGAGTGTCTCACACAAATGACCTGTGTGTTTGGTTAATGAATGGTAGCTGACTGTCTGACCATGGGGCGAATCATAACTCAACCTGATCCTATCTTGACCTGACACTCAAGTACTTTCACTTTCTCACAGGGTAGTGAACAACATAAGGAAGACAGGCTGGTAATTTTCCAGATCACAGTCTGGGACTTAGCAGTAGCTGTCCTCTGAAATTAAAGCACACTAGGAATTTAAACCTGTGTTAAAAAATATCTACATAATCCCAAGATATTTGTTGAGTGAGTGATAGTACAGAGAAATGGAGGCAGGTGGAGTTTTAACAAAAAAAGTCATTTCCGTTCTCTTTCTCATGGTCAAATTTAGTTCTCTTCTATCTATATGTTTCTTCTCTGTTCACCTGCCTGCATTATACAGATGTTCTCGATCGTAGTTCCCAGATCAGGTCCAGTGCAGCCTCAATGTGAGAGTCAGACCGGAAGAAGCGATTTTATTCTGCATTGCTTTCTCACCCTGTTCAAAAAGCTCTGCATATACTAACTTTCCCTCTTGTTGGCTAGATTTAATTTACCTCTTCCCTTCTCAGTGAGTTAATGACCTCATTTGATCTTTTAAATCCTAAACCTCATCCCTAACCTTTCCCTGGATCAGAGGGTGGTTATGAACTGGAACATGAGAAGAACAGGATGGAAGTGTATCTGAATGCTGCCACCTTCTCATCTCCACCAGAATTAACTTCTGGGCAAGAAGACCCATGGTCAATCTTGTGTTCTGCTGCCATTTGAGGCCCCTAGGTGACCAGTTAATGATTACTGAAGGCCCTCATCTGCAAGCACAGGGATTAACCCAACTGCAGGCAGGCCTCCTGCCAGGTAGCATGTGCAGCAAGCTATAATTGTGTGGCCAACTAGTTCCATCTGGAGGCAGGACTTTCCCCTTAATCAGATGCATTCAGTGCCTGATCAAGGAATTGGACACTGAGAAGATGGGTCCCAATGACATCCATCCCCTGTCTTTGCTGTTGAACTCTCTGCACCCTTTTCCTAAATCGTCTTTCCCTTACCCCTCTTTGTCCTTGGTTGCTTACAATCCTGGGTGCTCTGGAACCTGTTCTTCCTGTAGCAGTCACAGCCTCCCCAGTAGTGCTGCTGGCTTACAGCTCTCAGTAAGTGAAACTCCCATCCCTGGGAACTTGGTTCCCAGAATAAGACCTGTCACTGGCCTCCTCACTGGCTGAGTGGCTTGTGGTTGAGAGGGCCACCTTGAAAAGAGGCAGTGCTCTCACAGTGCCTCCCCAGCCAGTCGGCAGGATACCCAATCCATCAACAAGATGCTCTGCTCTTTATCTCCAACAACATGGTTGCTTGTAAAAAGATCCTGAAAATTTGACAGAGCTCAGCAGTACTCTACAGTGACTCCCAACTAGCCAAGTGTCTTTATACTTTGAGGATGGAGTTTTTTTAAAAAAAAGTCTTTTTTTTAAAAGAAGTTTTTTCTGTTTGAATGCAACAAACTGACTGCATAACTTCCTGTTTGTGAATAAAGATGGAGTTTATGTTAAGTATGAGTTCCCTCAGTTACTGTGTGGCACCTTTCACCAAAACTAGTACTGTGATAAGATGTAACTCCTTTTATCAGAGAGGGTGATATTATGTTATAATAATTTAAAACTCTAAAACTTAACACCCTCCTTACCTTTCAAAAAGCAAGTTTTCTCACTGGTTATTTCTTTGCTGGATTTGGAAGTCCATAGTTTTACATTGTAATGGAATTAATAAAATTGTCATTGTAATAGTGAGCCACATAGATAAGAATATTCCACAGTCAATCCTCAGTCTGTATTTAGATAGTTACTCTCAGCTGAGGGAATGCTTTGTGGTATACAATTAACCTCAGTGCCCCTTGCTGGAAAGAGAAAAGCAAGTCCAGTGTTTCCAGTTCTGATTTTTTTTTCAAAAGTACACCTGTGAAATTTATAAAAGTATGCTGCACAATTGTTTCAATTTGGAAGAAATATGGTGAGATACAGTTCATCTCCTTTCATTTCCCATGACTATCTTAAGTGTAGTAAGGCAACTCATCTACAGGTCACAGTTCTGAGGAAGGATCACCAGACCCGAAATGTTAACTCTGAATTTTCTTCACAGATGCTGCCAGACCTGCTGAGCTTTTCCAGCAACTTATGTTTTAGTTCCTCATCTACAGGTCATATCTACAACACATATTTCATGTCAAATACAGCCCAAAGGATTTTATATAGGTTCCAGCCCCTTGTGTACTGCAACACGAAGGGCCTTAAGCAGTCAATCATTCTAGTTGGCTGTCCTAATCTTTAGTCATTCTACAGCATGTAGTCCTGGAGTTGGGAATGTATCAGTCTCTAACACTTGGTTATGGACAGTTCTTTGCTCTGGAAGGCCAACAAGTTAGGCAGATCAGAGCCTTTCATTGAGTTGATCATCCTCCAAAAGCAGTTGAAGTTTGACTTGGCAAGCATTTTCTAGAAACAGCCCATAGGGGACAGAGTCCTGTATTACAGAGCTGACCAGGATGAATCTAGATTTTAAAAAACTACTACCTATTTTTTCCTGACCTTCTCTGCAAAGCTGCCAACTCCTGATCACTATTGAGCAACACATATTTGAATTCAGTTGCTATATATCTCACTAATCTGATGTATCTCAGAGCAAAGCAGAGATTATGCTAATTTTAAATTGAAACTGCTTATTTACATGACTTCATGGAACATCTTGAACTTTACAGAGCTTTTCATATACAGGTAGGTCCCAAGGTATCCAGGAAGCTTGGGTAGAGCTGAGGAGGCTGCCAGTTGCCAGGTTGTGCTGGTTGGAAGGCCTGCCTCTGGTCTCCTGCACTGTGTCCAAAAATTAAAGCAAACATAAAATGTTCCTCTAACACTCATACCTCTTGTACCACTTGATGGTCTTCTATCAATTGTCATTGCCATACCCTGTTACCAATCTCGATGGTCTCACATCAACTTAATGCCTACTTCCACTCACCTCCTTTTCCCCCCTTCACCTACCGTACTAACTCATCTAGTATCCATAAGTTCCCATGCACAGAGGGGAAAAAAATCTATTGATTCAAAAAAAAGCACATTTAGGGATGTTTTAGTTGCTTTGACAGTCCTTGGAGGAGTTGACACTTTTTACAGATCTTGCTAATTCTTGATCGGGTTGACAGGTTCTGACAGTTCTTGACAAGTTTGACTGACAGTTCTTGACAAGTTTGACCCTTTTAGACAAGTCTTGATTCTTCTGGATTGCTCTGTCAAGGGTTATGATAATTCCAATAGGTTTACACACTCTTCTGCAAATAATCTCCTTTGCAGTTAACAATCCCAAATTGTATTTGACTCCCAAACAGGATATCTGACAACCCCTCCCAAAGGGTTCCAGAACTCCCAATTCCAAAGGAAACTGACCTACAATGCCAAAGTATCCATTGGTATTTCAGCTCTCCCTGGCCACATTTAAAAAAAAATCAGACCATCTTTTACCTTGTTTAATCTGTACAATTCAGGTCGTGGATTTGAGTTGATTCAGTGATCTGCTCACAACGTTACTGCTGTTGGAGTAGTATTACAGTTGTATTCATTGTCTTTTGCTGCCTAATTCAGTATATCGATAACTGATGGTTAAAGATAGAAATGTAGATATTAAGCTAGTTCCCGATCCAAGCTCACAATGATGGGCACACATTTAAAGCAGGCAATGTTTTGCCATGGTGTAATGCTGGTTAGGTGTCTAATTTGTGCACAAACCAAACATAAACCTCTTGTTTGTCATTTATATAAATGGTATGGATGAGGATATAGAAGGCATAGTTAGTACGTTTGCGGATGACCAAAATTGGTGGCATAGTAGACAATGAAGAAGGTTTTCTCAGATTATAAAGGGATCTTGATCAATGGGCTGAAAAATGGCAGATGGAGCTCAATCTGGATAAATGCGAGATATTGCATTTTAGTATAACAAACAAGGGGTAGGGCTTATACAATTAATGGTAGGGTCTTGGGTAGTGTTGTAGAACAGAAGGACCTAGGGGTTCAGATAATAATTCTTTGAAGTTTGCGTCATATGTAGACAGGGTAGTTAAAAAGGCATTTAGCACTCTTGCTTTCATCGCTCAGTCCTTTGAGTATAGGAGTTGGGAAGTCATGTTGAGATAACAAGGTGTGGAGCTGGATGAACACAGCAGGCCAGGCAGCATCAGAGGAGCAAGAAAGCTGATGTTTTGGGTCTGGACTCTTCTTCAGAAATGGGGGAGGGGAAGGGGGCTCTGAAATAAATATAGGGGAGGCGGTGAAAGAAGGTGGATAGTGGAGCAGATAGGTGGAGAAAAGACAGACAGGTCAAGGAGGCGGGGATGAAGCTAGTAAAGGTGAGTGTAGGTGGGGAGGGACGGGTAGGTGGGAGGGAAGACGGACAGGTTAAGGAGGCGGAGATGAAGCTAGTAGGTGAGTGTAGGTACCTGTTGAGGTTGTACAGGACACTGGTGAGGCCTCTTCTGGAATACTGTGTCCAGTTTGGGTTGCCCAGTTATAGGAAGGATATAATTAGGCTGGAGAGGGTTCAGAAGAAATTTATCAGGATGTTGCTGGGTGTGGAACCTTTGAGTTATAAGGAAAGGCTAGATAGGCTGGGACTTATTTCACTGGAGCGTAGGAGGTTGAGAGACGACCTGACATAAGTTTATAAAATAACGAGGGGTAGAGATAGAGTTAATGGTAGTTGTCTTTTCCCTAGGATGTGGGATTTCAAGTCTAGGGGAATATTTTTAAGGTGAGAGGAGAAAGATTTAAAAAAGACATGAGGGGCAAATCTTCTTCATAGAGGGTGGTTCACGTGGACTGAATTTCCTGAGGAAGTGGTTGATGTGGGAACGATTACAACATTTAAAAGACCTCTGGATAAGTTCATGAATAGGAAAGGTTTGGAGGGATATGGGCCAGGAGCAGGCAGGTGGGACTAGTTTAATTTGAGATTGTCTTCGGCGTGGACTGGCTGAACCGAAAGGTCTGTTTCCATGCTGTATGACTGTATGACCCTGACAGCTCTGCGGTGCCATGATATCGCACACCTCATCCAAGACCACCTCCTCTACACCGTATAAAGTCCTCTCCTTGTTGTAATTCTATTTTGTACAATGCACAGCTGACTACATTTCATGACACGCCCATGGTTCATATTTCAATGCTCTGTGAGATGAGTCAAGTCTGCAAAAGTTCATTTTCAGCATGCCAATACCTGTTCTAGCTGCCTTGGCAGATGTGTATGCTATATTATAGTACTCCTCTATAGGGATGATGCATTGGTGTCATGATCCATTACCTGACGGGAAAGCTCTTGTTACCCATTACCCAACCTTGCTGTTGGGCAGAGAGTTTGCAAGAGCTCTGGAGCTGAGAGTTGTGTAAAATGCAGAAATCACATGTGGTTTCTGGGAAGCAAACACAGATCTTCATATGTCTTCCTGTGGTCACAGACTATTTGTACATTAAGGGAGAAAAATTTCTCATAATTCACAAATGTAGCTATTGGTTCCTAGGGAGTTCCAATCACATCCAAACTTGAGGGAACTGCGGGATAGCCCTGAGCCTACTGTCCAAGTGGTTTGGCTTTCAGCATCAGTTGTGAACTGAATGAAATTGCTGGCCTTTCTGAAAATGGCATTGGTCACCTCCCTGATGCATTCACCTACTGCAACCTGAGCTGGGTCACATGTCCCCTGCCAACCCCTGCAATGAGCCATGCCACTGACACTCAACAGTCATTTTGACAGCAACTAGCATTGGGTTCCCAATTTCATAGACCTGCAGGTCTTGATGAAGGAAGATATACAGGCCAGTTACTGTCTTCCAGGAAAGCCGTTGCTACTTCTGGCAATTCCTCTCAGGAGTAAGAAAGTAATTGCTGAGCTTTCTGAATATGAACTAACATGCCAATAGTTTCTGATGACAATGATGGCCCAGTTTGCCTTCCCCTTTGCTGATGCCAGTTGACGCCCTGGTGACCTCAGTAGTTTGAACATGGTCCTTCCTCTGGAATATTCTCTCCTCCACGACTCATGGTTATAAAAAGATGGGGTTTATGAAGTCCATCGTGAATCCACAAAGAGAACTGTGCGAAGAAAACACATGGCCCGAATCCTTTGAGCAGCTGCAGTTAAGTAATGGTAATACATAAATCTCCCATGGCCCACACCCAGCTCTCTTCATCATACTCAACCTCTATCACCCTTGACCCAGTGTCAGTGGCCCTCGATGTTCTATCTCTCACCCTCAACGTTCCCATCCTTACCTTTGACTTATCCACTATTATCTTTGAACTTCTCTCCATCTTCCTTGCTGTACTGGCCCAACCACCATGACCCTCTCATTTCCTCACTCCATCCTGCCACTACCAGACCATCCAGCTCCCCTCCCTTGTGCTGGTGAGTTACACATAAATAAGGCCTCACCCCAGATCCAAAGATTAAACAAACTGGCCTTATACACGCTACCATTAAGCTTTTGCAAAACAATTAACACTAGTTTACCTTCCACTATTGACTTAATCCTAAAGTTAGGACTTGATTTTTGGTATGTATACAAATGTACAGAGAGTAGACTTACCTCACTGTGTGCACAAACTTTGCTCCACCGCTAAAAAGCCACTGAGATGTGACCTGATAACTTGGCAGTGCCTTGAAAATAGAAGTTGGGTAACCTAAATATGCAAACCGAAACTACTTGGGAGTATCCGGTTTCAGCATATTGTGAAGAATAAGCATTTAACTTTTGGTGTTCAGAAGCAAGCACAGCTCCCCGAATAAAGGGTCAGTTTCTGTTCAGCAGAAAAAGAAGCAGATGCAAACTTTTGCTGTTTTGAATACAATGTGACCAGACTGTGAATCAAGGTGTTATTGGTTGTTCAGTTGAATAGGAAGTCTGGAAAGCTCTCTAATGTAGGACTTACACTTCAGAGGTGGGATGGATATTAAATGGCTGTAAGGCAACCAGTCCATCAGTAAATCATTCCCCACTGATTCTTTGAGTGGCAAGTGGTAAACTCCATCATCAAAAAACTCTGCTCAGTATTTTTTATTTGGATGTAGATGTGTGACAGCTGAAAATATATATGCTTCTCTACCTATTTATATAACAACTTTCAAATATAGTTTATCACTGGGATATATCAAACAAAATTTGATACAGACAATTTAAGATGTTAGAGCAGGTGACAAAACCTTTGGTCAAAGAGGGATGTTTTAAGGAGTGCCCTAAAGGAGAGAGGTGCACAGATTTAATGAGGTTATTTCATAGCTAAGAACCTTGGCAGCTGAAGGTATATCCTTCAATGATGCAGCAATGAAAAGGGGATGCACAAAAAAAGACAGAATTGGAAGAATTTGAATGTTGTGGTGTTAGAGAAAGTTACAGAAGTAAGGATGAGTTAATGGAGAGATTTGAAAACAAGGATGAGGATGGTTAAAACTGTGGCATTGCTGGAAAAGAGTCAATGTAGGTCAGCAAAGAAAATGTTGTGTGAGTTAAGATTGGCAAGGACTAAATAAGGTTCAATGTGCAGCAATTGGAAAGGAATGGAAAACATAGGGACCTTGATCAGATAGGCCCATGGGTTGAGGAGTGGTAGATGGATTTTAATTTAGATAAACGTGAGGCTTTTGGAAAGGGATATCAGGGCAGGACTTATACACTTAATGGTAAGGTCCTGGGGAGTGTTGCTGAACAGAGACCTTGAAGTGTAGGTTCATAGTTCCTTGAAAGTGGAGTCACAGGTAGACAGGATAGTGAAGAAGGCATTTGGTATGCTTGCCTTTATTGGTCAGTGCATTGAGTATAGGAGTTGGGAGATCATGTTGCGGCTGTACAGGCCATTGTCTTAGGCCACTTTTGGAATACTGCATGCAGTTTTGGTCCCCCTCCTACTGGATGTTGTGAAACTAGAAAGGGTGCAGAAAAGATTTATGAGGATGTTGCCAAGGTTGGCGGGTTTGAGCTATAGAGAGAGGCTAAATAGGCTGGGGCTATTTTCCCTAGAGCGTTGGAGGCTGAGGGGTGACCTTATAGAGGCTTATAAAATCAGGAGGGTCATGGATAGGGTGAACAGCCAACATCTTTCCCCAGGGTAGGGCAGTCCAAAACTGGGCATAGGTTTAAGGTGAGAAGGGAAAGATTTAAAAGGGACCTAAGGGGAAACTTTTTCATGCAGAGGGTGGTGTATATGTGGAATGAGCTGCCAGAGGAGGTGGAGGAGGCTGCTACAAACACAACATTTAAAAAGGCATCTGGATGGGTACATGAATAGGAAGAGTTTAGAGGGATATGGGCCAAATGCTGGCAAATGGAACTAGATTAATTTAGAATATCTGGTTAGCATGGATGAGACGGACCAAAGGGTCTGGTTCCATGCTGTACAGCTCTATGACTCTATTTGGTTCATGAGGCTAAAGTTCCCTTTGCTGACAGTTGGCTACACAGTGGCAACCATGTCATTTTGCTGCTAATGACACTTTTCTCATAGATGGGAAGATGATGCTCCCATCAGTCTGAGGATTGTGTATTGCCTTGTTTATTTATACCAAAGTCTTGGCTTTTTCCTAAGACAGAATTATGTGTAAATTCTGTCAGTACACATACATGTATGCACATGTTTGCATTATAAATGATTCTACACACTCTCCTAAGATGTGTGTATGTAGTTGTCTGGTTTCCATACAGCCCTTATCCTGTAGATTGAATTTAGCTCCAGTGCCTCAATATTACAAGACTGCAGCATGCTTGGCTTGTATCTGCCCTGACATTGCAGAGGTTTAAACAAATTCATGTCACAATATCTGTGTTGCTTTGTGAATTTATTGAGACCTCTGTTCTCAACTGCCTTTTAAGAGCAGTGACTTTCAGGGATGCTCCATTGATGTCTAATGCTGTTCCCCGTTCAGATCTGAGCAGTGGTACTTCCCGTATTATGCTTCTGTTACTTCCCCAGTATCTCTCTCGCCCGATGCAGAACCATTGTTTGTGCGATTGCTGAGCGCTGATTGATGAGGGGGGAAAAGAGTTCTGCAGGTCGGTATCTGTTCAAAAATTTCGCATTTCCAAAGAGTGCTTAATGCTTCACCATTGTCAGCCCGTTTCATGTAACTGAATACTATATATTTGCAGCTCTCTCTCTGCCTCTACTGAATGAGGATGGCTGTAGCAGAGCCTCTAAGTGCCCTTTCCCGCTGGTATCTCTATGCCATTCATGGCTACTTCTGCGAGGTGATGTTCACAGCAGCCTGGGACTTTGTGGTGCACTTCAACTGGAAATTTCCCGGGGTCACCAGTGTCTGGGCCCTTTTCATCTACGGCACGTCCATGCTGATAGTGGAGAGGATGTACCTCTACCTCAAAGACAAGTGCTGCACTGCTGCCCGGTGCCTCATCTACACCATCTGGACGTACATCTGGGAATTCTGCACGGGCTACATCTTGCGGCAGTTCGACGCCTGCCCGTGGGACTACTCGCAGTTCGAGTTTGACTTCATGGGACTGATCACCCTGGAGTACGCCATTCCGTGGCTCTGCGGCTCCTTCCTCATGGAGAAGCTGGTCATCAGGAACACACTGCGCCTGAGATTCGACCGCCCCCGGGACGCGGCGGCGGCAGCAGCAGCGCCAACAGCGTGGTGCCCCAGCGCCCTGACGAACGGACACATCAAGAACAACTGACACGCACCCCTCCGGGCTGATCTGTGGTGGGGAAGAGAGATAAGGACAGAAATGATAGGGTGGGGAGGGTGACAGGTGAGAGGGAGGGAAGGGGCTTTACTTTTGTCTCCACGGATATTGGACGATAACGAGACTAACCGTTGACGGTACCGCTTGGGACAATTCCCCGCCCCCCGTGGTGACGTCGGAGGTCCGTGCCGGAGGTTGATTGGCCGGAACCGCTGTCACTCATGACTTGTTGGGGGCGGTGAGTGCGGCACGAGCTCGGACCGTTATTTCCCGCTCGCTCAGGTTCAACGGCTTAAACTCCAAAAAAAAGGAAAGCGACCGATTTAATCACATATATATACTGTACAGATTTGCAGTTTTTTTTCCCTTTTAGTTGTTGTCGACTTTTTGTTTTAAAAATGACGCGAAAGGCCACACACTGTTGTGCCCGACGCCCACCCTGTGGTGCTTACCCACTCCCATTCAGCTTTGTGAAAAGGGGACTTCCATTAGTCTTCAAGTCCTCCGATGGAACTGTTATCCCGAACCTTAGTCAAGAAGTGCGGTCTGACCTCTTGGGACCCATGCATTGCTAAAGTACTCTCATCGAAAAGGCTCAGTGCTTGGCAGCTAGCTTGGTTTTCGAACCATTATCACGGAATACCAGGGTCGATCAGTTGGTCATGTCACTGAGCTGGCATATTCTCCAGAACCGAAGAAAGATCCACGGGTTGACACGCCTCTATAAAGTTTTGAATGAACAGTTAACTATTTCTAAGTAGTAGTAAGCCCACAAGTAACCGAGATCAAAGACTTTACAACCAACATAGTTCCTTTTGCTAGGACAATTCAGAACTGAAATAACTTTGCACAAACTCTCCTCTGCATCCCCTCCAAGGATCAATTGATTATTCGTACTCACTGGGCACCTCTTATGAAAATGCCCCATTGGAAGGCTGCATAAGGAAACATTACCAAGTGCTGAGCTACATGAATTGAATGGATGGTTGCTGAGAAATCTGCAAGTCGTCGTTTATAGCATTCTTTATGTTTGTTTATTATTCTGTCTTAGAAAGGAAAGTTTAACCATTTAAACTTGCATTTAGAACTACTTTAAAATTGCAAACAAGGAACTGGGAACTCAAAGCCTTGAACATTCATCTGTTAATATTAAAACCAATGTGTTAACAGATTTCTTTAAAAAGTGTTGGATTAAAGAAGCAAAGATATGACAAAAATGTTTTCACCAATGAGTAATCTGGTGGAGGCAGATTCAACTGTGGTTTTAAAATGGGAATTGGACAGCCGCCTAAAGAGAAACAAGATGCAAGGCAACCAGGAAACCCTTGGTAGGATCTAGATGAGTTGCTGTTGCAGAGTGTTGGCATGGACATGATGAACTGAATGGCCCGGACAGGGTGAGACAGCTGCTGTGGAACTGAACCAAAGGAACTAAAACTTAAAGGAACTGAAATTCCAAAGGCACAAGCTCATCCACTTTATGGAAATTTGCCAGTGCAGCGACCCTTCAACAAGAAATAATGAACAGTTGCCTCTTTTTATCATTACTACCTGATATTTATCCAAGACAATATGTCATGTCAGTTATATGCCATGCAGTTGTGTGCCCATGTGCATCTTAATACATTGCATCACCACCTCTGATAGGAATGTAAGAAGGATTCTGAAATTAGATTCCCTCCTCCCCAGTTTCCTGAAGACGCACTGACTTTAACTGGAGTACTTGCCACTCAGCAGCACCTTAGCGAAATGGCCATTGTAGCAGATGATTTGTCCAATGTAATATTCAGACTTAAGTCCCCATCACCATCAGACCATGTGCATTCTCAGGGTGGAGAGCTGCAACATATGCTGTTTTGTCAGTTCCCAGAGCAGCAGGACTGAAACAAACTGGAGCGATCAGGGATCCAGTCTGTGACCTGTGTTTAGCTCAATTTGATATGATATTGTGCTTTTAACAACCAGACTATGCTTGATTTCTTTGAAAATGGAATGTTACATTTTAATCTTTTTTAATCATTTCAAAATCAAGTGGTGAGAAAGGATTTGCCTTTGCTGCCTTTTGATCAATTTTTATTTAAACAACCTGAGCTAGGCCCAGTCAATGGCACCAATCGTGGCGTCAGTGCCCCATGGGCTAAATAGGGAAAACAGTCCCGAGTTGTTACCCACTGATCTCCTGCTGGTGAATGCACATCAGGATATTGTGTGCTATGAGCTCTCTGGTGGAAAATTCAGATTTAATTTCAACTATTGCTTGGGGAATGAGGGAGAGGAGTTGGGTGGTTCAAAGTTATGGTGCTGTCTTAGGAGAGAAGAAGGCTGTGAAGGGAACTACCTTGGTGGAGGGAAGAATTTTGTTTCAAAGGAATGTTGAGTATAAAATTATAAGGGAACGGGAATAAACAAACAACTATGAAGAAACAGTGTTACGAACTGCTCATGACCTGTGATGGGCAGTCTCCAATTTAACAACGTTCTTCCCGTGCAAGCAGAAACGGACAGATGAAAGACAATAGTGTTAATTTTTGGGTCAAGCGACCCTTCCTCAGAACTGCTCTGGAAGGACATTGCTTCCTTATGATAAGTGGAGCATTACCAATAAGCAGGTCCACCTCAGTAGATTTTAGAGGAGTCTTGTGTCCAGCATTGGCGTTCTTGATGCCATTTCACCTTTCCCCCACCACGGCCAGGAAGATCAGATTTAACCTGATATGGAGTCTTCTCCCCATTAGTAAATCTGCTGGAGCTATCCCTGTAGTTGTGTGAGGGATGGTTTTATAATCAAACAGGAACTGGGATAGTTTGGTGTTGAGTGAAGCCGTAGGCTGTTTCTTTAAGTCCGCCTTCAATGTATGGATTGCTCTTTCCGCCAACCACTGGACAATGGATGGTATGGAGCTGTACTTATATGACAAATACTATTCAACTTTGTTGAGTGTTAATTAACTCTCTGTAACAGCAAACAGTATTCCTATTTTAACTATTTCCGGTGAAGTACCTAGTACATGGAGGATCGCAATTACTTTAAAATAGAAGTCCATTAGCAGTGAGAGACAAACTCAAACATACACAGCTCCTACTTTGCAATGTTACAGACTGTTAATGAGTTCCTTCAGCCTGACACAACGCACATATCAAAAAAGCTGTTACATTAGCTTTTCATTCGTGTGACTTGATTTGCAAAAGTCCCACTGACATATACTGACAAAATTAGAAACCCAGTGATAATTACAAGAATGCTGGACATAGAAATAAATGTTGGAAATGAGTAACAGGTTTCTGTGTAGTGCCTAAGTATATAAAGCTTGTTGTTATTGCTCAGTTAGTCAAAGCACTTTTCCTATAAATGAGAGATCTTGAACTGGAGTCCCAGTGATTAGTTATTATTTATGCTTAAGGCAGAGGTAGATATATTGACTAATAAGGAGTTGAACATTATCGGAATTAGATTGGAATGTTGATCACAATTAAATGAGCTGTGGTCTCATTGAATAGTGATGCAGTCTCAGGGTGTGGAATGGCCTACTCCTAATTTGTACGTTTGTATGCAAAGGATTTACTTGCACTTCACACGAGCCTTTTCTCTCAAACCCTTTCATTCTAACAACTCCCTGTAGCATACTGAATGAAGCCAATGGGAAACAAAAAGCACCAAGCTCTGAATTTTATAAAAACCAGAAGAACTGAGGATGCTGTAAATCAGAAACAAAAACAGAAGTTGCTGGCAAAGCTCAGCAGGTCTGGCAGCATCTGTGGAGAGAAATCAGAGTTAATTTTTCAGGTCCGGTGATCCTGATCCTTACTTAGAACTGATGGTAGCTAGGAAAATGTTGGTTAGTATGCACGAGATTGGGTGGGGGGCGGGGCGGTGGGGGGGGGGGGAGGGGAGAGAGGGGGGGGGGGGAAGGGGAAGGGATAAACGATAGTTGGGGATAGAGAGACAGCAGTTGTACAGACAAAGGGGTAGATACCAATCTGGCTAGGAGGGTGAATAGAGACTGTTAATGGAGACTGTTAATGGCTAACAGTAGGTAGCGTTTAATGGCATACTATGTGATAACAAGGCCTGGTGTGTGTGGTAGGGGGCTAGGACATGGAAGAGTTCAGGCCCTAAAATTATTGAATTTGATATCGAGTCCGGAGGGCTATAGGGTCCCCAGGTGGAAAATGAGGTGTTGTTCTTTCAGAACCAAAAGAACTGCGGATGCTGTAAAATAGGAGCAAGAAGAGAAGTTGTTGGAAAAGCACAGCAGGTCTGTCAGCATTTGTGAAGAAATAAAATCAGAGTTAACGTTTTGGGTCAGGTGACTCTTCCTCAGTTCTGAGAACTGCTGAGCTTTTCCAGCAACTTCCGTTTTTGTTCCTGTTGTTCTTTCTGCTTGCGCTGAGCTTCACTGGAACACCGCAGCAAGCCTGAGACAGATGTTAGCCAGGGAACAGGGTGGTGTGTTAAAGTGGCAGGCAACTGGAAGCTCAGGGTCATTTTTGCAGGCAGAACAGAGATGTTCTGTGAAGCGGTCACTCAGTCTACACTCTGAACTTTGATGTGAATAATGCTGGTAGGCCAAGCTGTGTCTTGAGTGAGTCTATTCTAGACTGAATGCTAGAGCAAAGTTACATTAGTGGTCCTCACATCTTCACAGTTTTGCTTTTTCTATTGTTGACTCCATTGACACTTGCACACAGACATTAGGTACCTTCTGTACGTTCCCCTCAAGTGGTACTCACGACATGTTAGATAAGAATTTGAGGTGGCTTTTGTGGTAAAGTGGTAGTGTCCCCACCTCTGGGTCAGAAGTCTGAGTTTAATTCCCACGTGCTCCAGAGGTGTGTCATAATACATCAAAACAGGTTGATTAAAAACATTTAGACTAGTATTTGAACATCCAGGTGAGCTAAAAGATTGTGGAACCAACCCTTCATTCCCTACTCACATTATCCAAAGTCAAATTGCAAAGTAGCTAGTGATCAGAAATTGGCCCTGCATATTAAGGCTAATTGTGATGTCAGTCAAATTGAAACCAGTGGAGTAGTTCGAACTGATGCCTTTCTGGACTTTGCTACTTATCAGGCAGTGGTATTGACACACCAGTTTAACACTTGTATAGATAGCATTTCTGATGTTTTGGTGGAATGGGGCTGGGCTGAAGTAGTATGAGTATGATTAGAGCAGAGTCACCAGCTCTTTTAAGAATTTTGACACTGGAGCCTGAGGTAGGAGGCTGTGGGATAGCAGAATACCAGGCTGACAACTCTGTTCTAATGTGTATTGGGAGTTTTCCTCACAAGAGTTATTTCTTCCAACTGAATGTTAGCCAAAGGCTGTGATATATGCCTTACTGTAGTTAAATTAATTTGACTAAATGCGTTTTACATTCATCTATTACTTACCTCTGGGTATGTATGAAGGTGGCAGCACAGGTAGATAAGGTTCAGTTGTTTTTTGATATCATTTGGAGTGAATCAAATTGGCTTGTAGCAAGCTTCTGGCTGCTGAAACACAGATAAATTACTAATTTGGTCAAACAGCAAGGGATCATTTGTATACACACACACCAGGCAGAGTGCAAACACAACAGCCAGGTGGTAATGACATTAGCATAGTGTAAAAGGCACCAGTTATCCTGGACAGACAGACCCTCAACAACTTATCCACTAAACAAAGGAGGGCCCAGACAGAAAAGCACCGGAGATAGTAGGAACTGCAGATGCTGGAGAATCTGAGATAACAAGGTGTAGAGCTGGATGAACACAGCAGGCCAAGCAGCATCAGAGGAGCAGGAAGGCTGACGTTTCGGGCCTAGACCCTTCTTCAGAAATGGGGGCGGGGAAGGGGGTTCTGAAATAAATAGGGAGAGAGGGGGAGGCAGATTGAAGATGGATAGAGGAGAAGATAGGTGGAGAGGAGACAGACAGGTCAAAGAGGCGGGGATGGAGCCAGTAAAGGTGAGTGTAGGTGGAGAGTTAGGGAGGAGATAGTTCAGTCCAGGGAGGACGGACAGGTCAAGGGGGCGGGATGAGGTTAGTAGGTAGGAGATGGGGGTGGGGCTTGAGGTGGGAGGAGGGGATAGGTGGGAGGAAGGACAGGTTAGGGAGGCTGGGACGAGCTGGGCTGGTTTTGGGATGCGGTAGGGGGAGGGGAGATTTTGATTCAGAAAAGCACCAGATCCTGATACACAAAGATTCAAACAACGGCAAGCCATCCAAATGATTGCCACTGTTTCAAACTATTAAGTGAGTCTCCCGGATTGGCCAGAACTATAGAAAGTTCCAGAAAACCATCTAAACAGCTATAAAAACAGAGTTCACTTGCAGACCTCTCTCGGAACCTCTTAGACTGTCTTGAATCCTCTGGAGGCCTTCTGAGGAAACCAGCATAGCAAGAATTAGAGACCAGCTGACATCCAGAGAGAGACGGAGAGAGAAAGAAAGACTAAGAAAAGAAAGCAGCTTTGGAGAGACAGAGCCAGAAAGAGAGTAACTGCATAAATATACAAGAAACTCGGGAGATATTGTAACCTTAAGGGGCCAAATAGGATTAGAGGTAGTATGTTTAGTATTAAGGTTATTGTAATTTGTTTTCTAATAAAGTTAGGACTATTTTGCACGAGTAACGGCTTGTGTTCGTAGTGATTTGACTGTTTCGGTATTGTGGGACACCTGGGCAAATTTATTCGTAACATTCTGGTTGTGGTTGTCTGACTTGTTTTAAGGAGGAACTAAACATTTGGCGTCTTTGTGTGGGCTTCGATAAGAAGTGACAGTCAGGTCCTCTGAAGTCGAACTACCAGTCTGGAATCCTCAGAATTCAGCCTGAGCTGTGATTAAGAGGGTAATTATCCTATGTGAAAGCCAGAATTCAAGTGAGTAACTGAGGATACAGGCAGTCAACCAGAAATTGACCCATCAGCCAGGGATCCTACATCAGAGCAAGCAAAGTACAAGCTGGAAAAGGGTAGTGGGGTATAGAGGGAGGCTGAGGAAGTCAGCCTAGAGGGAAACAGGTATTTGCCTCTTGTGTAGAAACCCTAGAGACATTTAGGACTCCTTGAAAGAACCAACGGAGCTTTTATTTTATTTTCAGTTCCCATGAGTAGAAAAAATTTTCCTCTAAATTTTAAAGCCGTGTCTCTGTCCTGGGAGGGTACGATGGAAACGGAGCTGAGGGGATTTGATTTTTAGTTTACTTTTGAGTTTGTAAGAGTAGAGGAAAGTTTACTCTGTATTTCGACCCTTTGTTTTCCTTATCCCAAGAGTGTTTGGTGGGGACAGAGTAGAGGGAAAATCATTCTTTATTTTCAGAGTTGAAGAAACTTTATTTTGAGTTCAAGAGAGTTGAGGGACCTTTGAGTTCCAAAGAGTAAGGAAATTTTACTTTTCTGTTTAAAAAACATTGGCAGCTGTTGAAACCCCTTCATACTTTACTAACTCAATCAAAATGACTACTAGGTGCTTTAAAGAGTACCTGGATCAAGGAGTCACAGATTGGGTTGGAGACCCAGGGTTAGGCGTAATGCACAGGTGTGGGAAACTACAGGCAGGCCATAAAAAGAGGTTAAAGACCTATCTCTGGCTAGTGTTAGACAGGGTCACTGTGCTCTAGTTCCACACGTCTAAAACTTCGAGAGGCTGCAACAAGAATTCAGTTGAAGCCTTACCCCAACTACAACCACTTCCCAAAACAATAACATGGAAGAGAAATCCAGTGAAGGACACAGCAATAATATGTCTGTAAAATGGGACAAGTGTCTCCTTGTACAACATGGGAGGACACTTTCAGACAATACCTTTTGAAAATGTGGCCCAAATGGACAGAATTCTGTGGCAGCCCACACTAGCCCTGGACCACTGGGAGGCTATGGCTTGGTGGTATTATTGCTAGACTATTAATCCAGAGACCCAGGTAATGTTCTGAGAATGCTGGTTTAAACCCACCCCGGAAATCTGGAATTAAGAATCTAATGATGACTGTGAATCCATTGTTGATTGTTGGAAAAACCCATCTGGTTCACTTTTGCCCTTCAGGGAAGGAAATCGCCATGCTTACCTCGTCTGGCCTACATGTTACTTCAGACCTACGGCAATGTGACTGACTCGCAACTGCCCTCCGGGCAATTAGGGATGGGCAATAAATGCTGGTCCAGCTAGCAATGTCCTCACCCCGTGAGAAACTCACAACAAATTAGGAAAGAAGCCCACTAAGAAAACCTAGAAGTATCCTAGAATATTCTGTGGCCGACTAGTTGAGATTAGATTCCTGAGGGAGTGATTAGAAATCTTTACTGATTAACGGAAAGATTCATGGCAGTGTGGAGGAGCAGAGGGATCTAGGGGTTCATGTCCACAGTTCCCTGAAAGCTGCCACCCAGGTGGATAGATTTGTTAAGAAGGCTATGGTGTGTTAGCTTTCATTAATAGAGGGATTGAGTTCAAGAGCAGTGAAGTTATGCTCCAGCTTTGCAAAACCCTGGTTTGGCCACATCTGGAGTATTGTGTCCGGTTCTGTTCGCATCATTACAGGAAAGATGTGGAAGTGTTGGAAAAGGTAAGAGGAGATTTACCAGGATGTTGCCTGGAATGGAGGGAAGGTCTTACGAGGAAAGGTTGAGAGAGCTAGGGCTTTTCTCTTTAAAATGACGAAGGATGAGAGGTGACTTGATAGAGGTGTACAAAATGAACAGAGGTATAGATAGAGTGGAGAGCCAGAGACTTTTTCCTAGGGTGGAGGTAGCTATTACGAAGGGGCATAGTTTTAAAGTGAGTGGAGGTAGCTATAGGGGAGACGTCAGAGGTAGGTTCTTTACTCAGAGAGTGGTAGGGGCGTGGAATGCATTGCCGGAGAGGGTAGTGGAGTTGGCCTCATTAGGGGCATTTAAGCAGCTATTAGATAGGCATATGGATGATAGTATGAGGTAGGGTTGGAGGTTAGATAGACCTTAGGTTTAGGGTAAAAGTTCGCACAACATCGTGGGCCAAAGGGCCTGTACTGTGCTGTACAGTTCTATGTTCTAACTGGAAAAATTAAGGAGCAGGATACCAGAATACAGGAAAACCTGATCTACATGGGACAGTTCCAGTCACAATTTGAAAGAGCCTATTCTAGTGAGAGGAGGGCCATCGGGCACTGGGAGGCAGCATACATTGACAAGCCGGAACAACAGTATAGGGAGCTCCAAGCAGCCATACAAATTTTCCAAGCCTGCAATGCACATCAGTCCCTGCATAGAGCATTCAAACTGCCAGGAATAAATACAAATCTCCAGCAAACCAGATCTCCGCCCAGAATTGGATAATGTGTGCCTTTGCGGTCCAACCTCCCCAGGGAGTTAATGAGGCCCCACACTGATACACATGCATTTAATCTGCCTCTGTCCCACAGACAGGGTCCCTGCCACTTGTCTCCCAGGTGACGGCACCTTCAACCCCCACCTGAAACCATAGCCCATGCACATGCACATAAGCATGGTCCAGACTTCTTATAGCACCCCCCCAACTGAAAGAAGGGTCAGCAATGTACCAGAGTCCCAGACAGACTCCCGCTCCATAAAAGTGCCCTGTCCCCAGAAGAAAGGAACTCCCACAAACAAATATCAAACCCAATCTGTGGCCAGATCAGCATTTCATTCAGGACTGCTGGGCACCTAAGATTCCAACCAGGCAACAGGAAGTCCGCAAAAAGGGGCAACACTCAGGGTACCATCCGGGCAGAACAGCCGGATTGAAAATGGGCTGTGGCTTATACATTGAGGATGACAGGGGCAACCCAGTAATGGAAATAGCTTTAAGCTCCCCAGCCATGAGTGCACAAGCTGCCACGTGGTAGCTCATCAGGAACAGCTCCCTTCACTGCTAAACATCTATTTGCACACTGGGTGACAACCCACCTCTCCACACTACAGCCTGCACACAGGGCACATTTCTGTTGTGCCTTTTACTTTTTCTTAAAATCAAAGAGAGCCAGGAATGGGTGACAATTGGACAATTTGACAATTTTAAAATATTATGTTGAACATAGTGTCAGATATTGGACCAAGATATTAACAGAAATTACTCTTGTTTTCATTTAGAAAGTGCACCAGCGTGGCTACTCCAAGACAGCGATTCAATCCTTAGAGGGTTTATTGTGTATTATGTATTATTATACTTGTTGTATCCAAAAATGTAGCACAGGCACAAGGGAAAAATGACATATCCAGGATAGTTATGACGACCCACCAGACACCATGGTGCGTGTAGATGGGATTCTCTTGGTCCACTCTATGCTATCAGTGGTATTCGGGTGTAAGCATCAGCTCATGCTGCAAGGGAAGCCAACGGGAGTTCCACATTGTGTTATGAGTGTAGGGATCACAGACAATTGGTGGAGTTTTTCCATGAATGAGTGCATAGTCCAGACAAGGGGTCACAGTTAGGATGGCGATGGCCCAGGAAGCCTCACCAGGGAGAATTTCTTAAGTACAAAATTAGACCTGTAGATAAGGCTCCTCCCCAGCTTCTCTCTCTGCTCCCTGCCCTCCCACCCACACCCACACTAACACCCACACCAGACCCTTGTAATGGACTAGTAATTAAACCCACAGGTAAAATCTATCTGACAACATTCACCATGAGCTAATGCCAGTCATAATAGATGTATCAGGGATATAGTTACTGGAGTGGTATTCTTCCCCTTTAAAACAATAATATTCCCACCTGGCCCTCAGAATAGTGGGACGAGGGACAGGGAAATGAGGGAAAACCCAAACCAACAGTTAATAGGTGAAAGACAAGGGAACTCCTTAATGATCTATCCACAGTGTATGAGGCAGGAGTGTCAATGGTCATTACCCTTGATTTGGCTAATTTGGACAATAAACTCAGGATCATAACCCAACAAGTCAAATGAGCCCCAGTAGTACTGAATACAGATAATCGACAGACCACTGGACAACTAGCGGAGATCACTTAGTGATCATACCATAGGGTCACACCAAAACGATTAACCGGATCATCCAGGGCAAAATCAGGGATGACAGCAGCAAAACCGCACCTTGTGCGGCATCTACGGTAACTGGATAACTGAATAGCTGAGGGAGGACCTCAGGCAGGCTAGCCACGGGAAAGTCCATCCTGGATCTGCAATGAACAGCTTGAGCATATGATCCAGGAGAAAAGCCACTAGCTGTCAGTTCTGATAGATCATTAAGGTGTGGTTTAATGACAGCTGCAAGGACACTCTTGGCAAGGTCCTGGGCTTGGTGCTAGGGATTTAATTATTTCTAGTGATAGAGTTGGGTTGAAGATCTTTTGAAGTCAAAAATATTGGAATTATTAAAAAAAGGTATTTGGATAGGTTACCATGACACCTTCCATGTGCTGTGGAGAGACAGAGGTCACTGATACAGACCACTAAGTAAATGCGAACAAACAGGCCATACCATTGTGCCCATAACCTGTCATCCATGAATTCAGCTCCTATCATATATAGTTGTGGTCCTAATTGCACTCACCTTCATATACCTCAGGATACTGGCGGTTAAGATTGCAGGCTGGGAAAAACAAATATCCCAACAGACGGGAATGATCAGTATGAATAATACTGTACATGAACACAAGGGCTACAAGATAGACTGAACTCCCAGCGTTATCAGTATTGTCACTTTTATTTGTTCTGTTTACTGAATGTTGTCTCTGCAACAAGTCCACTTCAACCCTGTATGGATTACCATGATGGGAGTTTCTTTTTTTTGTATATACAAATATATCATTGTGTGAAAGCCATTATGTACATAGGCTTAACCAAACATATAAGCTCCCTTGATAATACACATAACCAACTTTTAAAATTAGGTTTGAACTTCATTTGCACAAGCTTCTTTCTGTTCAAAAGGGGGGACATGGAGCAGCTTCCTGGCTGCTAAAACACAGATAATTTGCTGACTTGGCCAAACAACAAAGGATGCTGTAAAGATAGTAGGAACTGCAGATGCTGGAGAATCGGAGACAACAAGGTGCAGAACTGGATGAACACAGCAGGCCAAGCAGCATCATAGGAGCAAAAAGGCTGACATTTCGGGCATAGACCCCTCATCAGAAAAAAAAAGGATGCTGTACATTGGCCAAGTAAAACTGAAATCACAAAACCCACACACTAGGTACAATGCAAACGCAACAGCCAGGTGCTAATGACATTAGCATAGTGTAGAAGGCAACAGCTATGCTGGACAGACATACCCCCAACAACACTTACCCACTAAACAATGGAGGGCCCAGACAGAAAGGGACCAGATCTTGATACACAAAGAAACAAACATCCAAATGATTGACAAACAGGAGGCTGCAAAAACACAGCAAGCCAGGCAGCATCTGGAGGAGAAGTCAGCATATCATTTTCAGTACTGGATGTGGGGCTAAGGGGGAGCTGCAGATAAAGGGAGCGGGGAGGGGGGGCAGTGGTTGAGGAATGGTGCTAATAGGTGGACACCAGTCGTAGGTTGGTCAATGGGAGGGATGAATCCTGTTGGCAGTTGGAATGGAAGAGAGGAGGCAGGGCTGGAAAGGGAGCCTGGGGATGGGAAGGTTATTTGAAATTAGAGAACTTAACCTTAAGTCTTCTGGCCTGTAGGGTGCCCAGGTGGAAGATAAGGTGTTGTTCCTCAAATTTGCATTCTGATTCACTGCGACATTGGAGGAGGCTGAGGATGTATATGTCGCAGGGGGAGTGGAGTTGAAATGGGTGATGACCGGGTGGTTAGCCTGGCCATTTCATGCCAGGTAAAGATGCTCGGTGAAACAGCCACCTAGTCTACATTTGGTCTCCCTGATGTAGAGAAGACCACATCAGGAGCACTGGATGCAAAAGACCAGGTTAGAGGAGATGTAAGTGAAACTCTGTCTCACCTGAAAGGACTGTTTACGGCCCTGGATGGAGGTGAGAGAGGTGGTGTGTGGGCAGGTATTGCATCTTTTACGGTTACATGGGAAGGTACCAGGGGCGAGGGTTGGAGTAGTTGGTGGGGAGTGTGGCGCGAAGGGAATAATCCTTGTGGAAGTTAGAGAGGGGTGGGGAGTGGAAGATGTTCTGGGTGATGGGGTCTAATTTGGAAGTGTTTGAGGATGATACTTTGGATGCAGAGGCTGGTAGAGTGGAAAGTGAGGACAAGGGGGACCCTACCTTCATGTTTGGAGTGGGGGTGCGGTTTAGAGGGGAGGAGTGGGACATGGAGGAAGCATAATATAAGCTTACAGGCAAAGGTACTAGGGGTGTTGGAGTGGTTGGTGAGGAGTGTCTTACAGGGGAAGGTATCACACACCACCTCCCTCACCTCCAAACAGGGCCTTAAACAGTCCTTCTAGGTGAGACATAGTTTGACCTGCATCTCCTCCAACCTAGTCTAATGTATCCGGTGCTCCTGATGTGGTCTTCTCTACATCAGTGAGAGCAAACATACACTAGGTGACCATTTTGATGAGCATCTTCATCTGGCCCGAAACGGCCAGCCGAACACCCCAGTCACTGCCCATTTCAACTCCACCCACCACGCCCCCTCCAACATGTCCATCTTCGGCCTCCTCCAGTGTCGCAGTGAATCAGATTGCAAATTTGAAGAACAACACCTTATCTTCTGCCTGGGCACCCTTCAGCCCGAAGGATTATGATTGAGTTCTCTAATTTCAAATAACCTTCCCAGCCCTGGCTCCGTTTCCAGCCCCGCCTCTTCCCTTCCATTCCAGCCAGCAACGAGATTCATCTCTCCCATCGACCAGGTTGTACCTACTACCAGTGTCCACCTATCACCACGTTGACTTCTCCTCCTCCAGATGCTGTCTGGCTTGCTGTGTTTTTCTAGCCTCCTGTTTGTCTACCTTGGATTCTAGGCATCTGCAGTTTTTTTTTGTCTCTATCCAAATGATTGACACTGTTTCAAACTATTAAGTGAGTCTCCCTGATTGTCAGAACTATAGAAAGTTCCAGAAAACCATGTAAAAAGGTACAAACACAGTTCACTTGCAGACCTCTCTCTTCAACTCTCTTGAATCTTCTGGAGACCTTTTGAGGAAACCAACACGGCAAGAGATAAAGACCAATTGACTATCCAGAGAGAGAGAAGAAAAGAAAGCAGCATTGCAGAGACAGAGTGACTGCATAAATCTACAAGACATTCAGAAGGTATTGTAACCTTAAGGGGCCAAATAGGGTTGGAGGTAGTATGTTTCATTCTAGAATCAAAAACTCACAGTGCTGTACAACATGGAAACAGACCTTTAGGTCCACTCATCCATGCAAACTAGATAACTCAATTAATCCAGTCCCCTTTGCCAGCATTTGGCCCATAACCCTCCAAACCCATCCAGATGCCTTTTAACTGTTTTAATTGTACCAGCCTCCACCATTTCCTCCAGCAGCTCATTCCACACATGCACCGCCATCTGTGTGAAAAAAATAGCCGTTTAGGTCCCTTTTAAATCTTTCCCCTCTCACCTTAAACCTCTGACCTCTCATTCTGGACTGCCTCATCCCAGGAAAAATTCACCCTTTCCATGCACCTCATGATTTTATAAACTTCTATAAGGTCACCCCTCAGCCTCCAGAGAAAACAGCCCCAGCCTATTCAGTCTCTCTCTATATCTGAAACCCTCCAACCCTGGTAACATCCTTGTAAATCTTTTCTAAACCCTTTCAAGTTTCACAACGTCTTTTCTATAGCAGAGAGACCAGAATTGAATGCAGTATTCCAAAAAAAGGCCTAACCAATATCCTGTACAGCTGCAGCATGATCTCCTATACTCAATGCACTGACCAATAAAGGCAAGCATACCAAATGCCTTCTTCACTATCCTGTCTACCTGTGACTCCACTTTCAAGGAACTATGAACCTACACTTCAAGGTCTCTGTTCAGCAACACTCCCCAGGACCTTACCATTAAGTGTATAAGTCCTGCCCTGATTTGCCTTTCCAAAAGCCTCGCGTTTATATAAATTAAAATCCATCTGCCACTCCTCGACCCATTGGCCTAGCTGATCAAGGTCCCTATGTTTTCCATTCCTTTCCAATTGCTGCACATTGAACCTTATTTAGTCCTTGCCAATCCTAACTCGCACAACATTTCATTCCCCCATCGCCCCTTTTGTTTGGTGACCTACATTCACTCTTTACCAACAATGCCACAGTTTTAACAATCCTCATCCTTGTTTTCAAATCTCTCCATCAACTCATTCTTACTTCTGTAACTTTCCCATTGCCTTCAACGGGTAAGAGTTCTTGCGGTGCTGCGGTAGCGTCTCTTCCTCGGAGTCTGGAGACCTGGGCTCACATCCCACCTGCTCCACCTAACAGCGTCTCTGAATAGGCTGATTAGAAAACATCTCAACTGTGGGGTCAAGTCATTGAGTGTATTTAAGACAGAGACAGGTAGGTTCTTGATTATTAAGGGAGTCAAGGATTATGAGGAAACGGCATTAGAATGGGATTGGGAAACATATCACCCATGTTCACCGAGGATCTTTAAGAAGAAAGAAAAGGGGCCCCAAGCCTACAGTACTATCCTATTAACGGAGATGCGATAAATAAAGGATACCACTTTGACACCATACGCCTGCACAGCCACTCCTTCTGCCGGCGGTTACACGCTGCAGGCGCTGGGGGCCAGCCCACCTCCCATCGGCCCCTGTGATTGGCTGCAGTGTGTCCGTCCGTGGATTGGCGGACAGGCTCAGCGCTAGGGCCAATCGCGGGGCGGCTTCCGGGCATGGTCTCCCGGGCGCGTCCATCCTTGATTCCTCGCGGGGATTGGCCGACGCGCGGTGAGGATCGGGACCAATAGGAGCACGGGATCGTCGACAGGTGAAGGTGGAGGAGGTAGATACCTGAGTGAGGGAGTCCCTGGCGGGGAAAGCAGGGTCAGACGTCGGGTCGGGGTGTAGTGTCAGTTACTGAATCGGGGGTTGAGGTTGGTCAGGGTCAGTTTCTTTAAGTTCAACTCCAGTTTAATCAAGTTCAACTCCAGTTTAATCCAGGTGAAACATGACAATGAATAGATCCGGTGAGAGGACAGATAGGTTTAAAGTAAATTATGCTCGCAACGTTGTCATGGCGCAGCAGGAGGCCATACGCAAGTTATGCACAATGCCACTGAGCCTACACCTGAGTTATAAGATGTTAAGTACCGTGGGGGGTCGGGGGCTAGCAGTGGACAGGGGAGACAGTGACCCCTGTATCTCCCACCGCCCCTAAAGCAGCGACTGACACTGGACCCTGTCTGAGTTCCGACACTAGACCCATTGACAGACCCTGTTCACCGTGTTTCCCCTTGCCCGAACCTGGATACTAACCCTGTGCATGACACCTTTTCTTGACTGCCTCCCCCAGACCCAGTGACTGATCCTGGTCCTCTTCCCCCAGACCCAGTGACTGACTCTGCCATCCGCATGACTAAGCCTGACCCCTTTGTCCCTCTTCCCAAGACAGTCCATCTTCTGCTCCCAGGCCCAGTGTCCAAAGGCAGTTGGCATGATTGGCTAACTTATGAGAAGTGAGTGTGCACAATCAATGCAATTAGTATTGTGTTATTTATGGATGTAATGGTACAATCGTTTTGAATCTAGTTCAATATTATTTCGTTCTCCTGAACTAGGTTGCAAAAGATGGCAAGCAAAAAGCTGAAGAGGACAGGCCTGCCTTCAGATTTGTGTGAAAGGCTTAGCAAATACCAGATTATAAACTGTCAGGTAAGGCAGTAGCTGGAACGGTGCAGGGTGATGCTGTAATCAGCATGGATATACTTAGAGCAAACTGTTATGGGTTGCAACAACTTGATTTACGGCCCGATAGAGTAATGAAGAACATTAGCATCGTTCGCTCTGATGAACGATTTTCTTTTTCCTAGTTTCCTTCTCATTCTCTTCAAGGAATTGCTACCTTAGAGGCAATCCCAAGAAAATGTACTATAATACAATACCCAACAGGACATCTTTCAGATAGGAATCTTGACAGTGATTTGGCATTTTTTGATGTTGGAGGATAATGTTATGAAGCCAGTTCCTATTTTCATCAAATACCCTTTTCCTATGGCGCTCACTATAATGGCAGACGTGGCTGATTATATATTTAGTCTCCGCCCAATTGCCGAAGCTAATTGTACCTGACCAGACATTAGAATGAACACTGGGGTATAAGTTGTAAAAAGGTATATTAGATCTAGAAACAGTTGAGAAAAGGTTTGCTTGGCTCAATCCTGGATTAATCCTTCTTATGAAGAAGGTTGAACAGAATAGGTCTTTATCTGTTGGTGTCTAAAAGAATAAGAGTTGATCTTCTTGAAACGTACAAATTCTTGAGAGTCATAGTCATACAGCATGGAAACAGATCCTTTGCTTCAACTAGTCTGCGCTGACTAGGTTTCCCAAACTAAGCTAGTCCCATTTGCCTGCATTTGGCCCATATCCCTCTAAACCTTTCTTCTTCATTTACTTGTCCAAATGTCTTTTAAATGTTGTAACTGTACCTGCATCTACCACTTCCTCTGGCAGTTCATGTCGTATACGCATGACCCGCTGTTGTCCCTCAGGTCCTTTTTAAATCTTTCCCCTCTCACCTTAAAACTGCCCTCTAGTTTTAAATTCACCTACCATAGGGAAAAGACCTTTGCTGTTCACCTTATCTATGTCTGTCATGATTTTATAAACCTGTACAAGGTCACCCCTCAACCTCCTCTGCTCCAGGGGAAAAGCCCTAGTCTATTCAGCCTCTCCTTATAACGCAAACCCTCCAGTCCTGGTAATATCCTCATAAATCTTTATTGCACCCTTTCCAATTTAATAATATCCCTGCTATAGCAGGCCGACTAGAACGGTATGCAGTACTCCAAAAGTAGCCTTACCAATGTTCAGCCCAACGTGATATCCCAACTCCTATACTCAATGCTCTGCTGATGAAGGCAAGCATGCCAAATGCCTTCTTCACCACCCTGTCCACCTGTGACATTACTTTCAAGGAACTGTTTACCCGAATCCCTAGTCTCTGTTTGGCAACGCTACTCGGGGCCCTAGAAATAACTGTGTTAGTCCTGCCCTAGTTTGTCTTAGCAAAATGCAACACCTCGCAATTATCTAAATTAAATTCCATCTGCCATTCCTTGGCCCATTGGCCCATTGGCCCAACTGATCAAGAGCCTGTTTTACTCTTGATAACCTTCTTCAGTGCCCGCTATACCACCAATTTTGATATCATTAGCAAACTTACTAACCGTGCTTCCTGTATTCTCTTTCAAATCATGTATATAAATGGTAAACATTGAACCCAGCAACGATCCCTGCTGAACACCACTGGTCACAGGCCTCCAGTCTGAACAGCAACCTTCTACCGTCACCCTCTCTCTCCTACCTTCAAGCCAATTTTGTATCCAATTGCTTAGCTCTCCTTGGATCCCATGTGGTCCAACTTTACTAACCAATCTACCATGCAAAACCTTGTTGAAGGACTTGCTAAAGTCCATATAGACAATGTCTATTGCTCTGCCCTTATCTATCTATTTGGCCATGTCCTTAAAAACCTCAATCAAGTTTGAGAGACACGATTTCACATGTACAAAGCCATGTTGACTATCTCTAATCATTACTTGCCTCTCCAAATGCATGTAAATCCTCTCTCTCAGAATCCCCTCCAATAACTTATCCACTACTGACATCAACCTCACCAGTCTGTAGTTCCCCAGGCTTTTCCTTGCAGCCTTTCCTAAATAAAGGCACAACATTAGCTACCCTCCAGTCTTCCGGCACTTTGCCCATGTCTGTAGATGATACCGATACCTCTGGTACTGGCCTCTCATTTCTTCCTTATCTTCCCACAATGTCCTGGGATCCTCTTGGGGACTTATCTACCATCATGTGTTTTACGACCTCCAGCACCACCTCTTCTGTGATGTGATCTGTTTTCAAGACATCACTGTTTATTTCCCCAAGTTCTCTAGCTTACATGACTTTCTCCACAGTAAATACTGATGCAAAATATTCGTTTAGTATCTCACCCATCTCCTGTGGTTCTGCACATAGACACATTGTTGACCTTTAAGGGGTCCTATTCTCTCCTTAGTTGTTCTTTTTTCCTTAATGTACTTGGAGAATCTCTTTGGATTCTTCTTAACCTTATCTGCCAAGGCTATTTCATATCCCCTTTTTGCCCTCCTGATTTCCCTCTTAAGTATGTCCCTACTTCCCCTATACTCATCAAGGGATTCATTTGATCCCAACTGGCTACACCTGACATATGCCTCCTTTCTCTCGACCAAAGCCTCAATATCTCTAGTCATCCAGTGTGCCCTACTCCTAGCAGCCTTGCCCTTCACTCTAACAGGAGTATACTGTCTCTGAACTCTTATCTCATTTTTGAAAGCCTACCATTTGCCAGTCATCTCTTTACCTGTGAACAGCCTACCTCATTTCATTTTTTGTAAGTTCCTGTCTAATACCATCAAAATTGGCCTTGCTCCAATTTAGAACTTTCACTTTTATACAAAGCCTATCTTTTTCCATAACTATTTTAAAATTAATAGAATTATGATCATTGGTTGCAAAGTGCTCACCCACTAACACCTCAGTCACTTGCCTTGCCTTATTTCCCAAGAGAAGGCCGTGTTTTCCTCCTCTAGTAGGTACATCTACATATTGATAAAGACAATTTTCTTGAACACATTTAACAAATTTCTTCCCATCCAAGCCCTATTGCAGCCCCAGTCTATGTTTGGAAAGTTAAAATCCCCTACTTTTACAACCATATTATTCTTAAAGATATCTGAGATCTCCCTACATATTTGCTCCTAGGTTTCCTGCTGACTATTGGAGGGCTTATAATACAACCCATCAAGGTGATCAGCCCCTTCCTTTTTCTCAGTGCCACCCACATAGCTTCATTGGACAATCGTCCATGAATCCTGTCTAGGTACAGCAGTCATGATTTCCCTAATCAAAAATGCCACTCTCCTGCCTCTCTTGCCTTCAGTTCTAACCTTCCGATGGTATCTATACCTCGGAACATTGAGCTTCAGCCGTTTTTCTGTAATAGCTATCCCAGGCCCATGTTCTCATACATGCCCTGAGTTAATCTGCCTTACCTATCAGGCCTCTTGCATTGAATTAAATGCAGTTGAATTGTTCAGTCTTACCTCATTCTCTGCCGTACTGTTGCCTGCCTTGTCTATTTAGCTTGCTCCCTTTACCTTCTGAACCATCCTCAACCTTCTCTCTTTTCTCACTACTGCTTAAGATCCCCCTACCCCGCCCCCCAAGACCCCCTCCATACTAGTTTAAAGCCTCCTGAGTAGCACCAGCAAATCTCCCTCTCCAGTTAAGGTGCAACCTGCCCTTCCAGTACAGATCACTTCTGCCCCAGAAGAGATCCCACTGAATCCTTGGCCCCTGCATCATCTCGTCAACCGCTCATTTATCTGCCCTATCCTCCTATTCTTACACTCACTAGAGAGAAATGGAAAGGGTGGATACTGGAAAGATGTCTCCTCTTGTGGGGGAGACTCGACCTCGGGGCTGCATTTTAAGAATAAGAGGTTTCCCTTTTAGGAAAGAGATAGGGGAGAAATGTTTTATCTGAGAGTCATTATAATGGGCGTTATCTTCCTCAGGCGGTAATGGAGGTGTGCTGAGGAAAGTGGACCTGAGAACACAATCAGATCAGCTGTGATCTTATTGAATGCTGGAGCAGGCTTGAAGGCCCACTTGTCCTACGCCTGCTCCTAAATTGCATGTTCTTATGGAACAAAACCAAAATTGAATTGTCTGCGTCAATGTTGCATTGTTCAGTTTCTCCACCTGGGTTGGTGTTTGCATACAGGGTTGATTGTTGCACAGCATTCAGTGCAGTCATATCATCTCTGCCCACACTTTGCATGGACCAGTTCTGAGACTTGCAGAATCCAGACCTAAACTGCTCTGATGCCAATCCTATTGAAAGTCCTGTATGCTTGCCCATCACTACAGTCCTTGAGAATTGGTTTCCTAAACTGCAGTATGTCAATTTCACGATCATGCGAGTTTACAAATTCTTCTTGACCTCAGTCCATCCTGCCTCTGTCATTTTGTTCAGGCCTATATTCTGTTTCTCTCCTCTAAGTTTGAATAGTAGAATATCTATGCATCCTCAACGTCAGCATCTGTGACTGAGGCTTTTTCCAGCATAAGCCTGCACTCAGAATTTCAGTATTATTTGAAAAAGAACTGCAGAGATTTTCCCTTGCATTATGGCCAAGATTTATTCCTTAGCCACCCTCCCTTATAAAGGATCCCTTTTGGTCAAAATAGCATTTCTGTTTGTGGAACTTCACTGTGGATATGTTTCTGTCCCGTTTGCTACATTACAATATTGCCAGTATTCACTGTAATTTTCTTTTGCATGTGTGCCAGCATTTTTAAGTATGATGACCCTTGTATCCCCTGAAATTATTTACCTGCATGTGCAGTAATTTAAAGGGATTAACTTAGCCAACCCTGCTCAGAGGCTTTTGGGTTGCTGCATGGTTCCACATCTTAATATGAATGTCTGTTCTGACTGTGCTTCAAAATACTTCATTAGCTGCAGAGTGTTTTGGGATGTTTTGAGATTGTGCAAAGGCAATATAAATGCAAATCTCTCTTCATTCCAAACCTATCAGCCTTATACTATCTGTGGCTAAATTTTGGGTCTTTCCCACCAACCATCTTCCACAGATTTCCTACATGCTTTATTTGGTGTTGAGTTGTTTTAATTTGGAAATGTGGCTTTATTAAAGGCATTGTAATCTCTTAGTCTTGAGAATGCGTATTTGTTTTTTTTTTAACAGGACTTTCTATCCCTTTCTCCATTGGAGCTGATGAGATTCACGGGTCAGAGTATCCAGAAGGTTTCTGCATTAGTAAAAACTGTCAGTAAGGCTTGTGCTCCTAAAATGGTCACTGTAAGTGAAGATTATTGTTAAATCATTGTAAGATTTTAGATATCGGCTTCTAATTTTGTAATTTGTTCCTTGGTTTGGTTTTCTCCCGTCTTTTTCTCTGCTAAGTGGGTTTTTACACAGTTTTTGGGGGTATATATATTTGCGTAAAACAAATGTTTGTTGTTTGATCCATAAAGACACTGATGGAAGAATACATCCATATTTTTCCATACATAATAGAACTATACATCACAGAAGGAGGCCATTCAATCTACTGTAGGATTTCTGTGTGGATCTAGATCATCCCACTACCTCTATTCTTCCAGTATCTCCCTGATCACTGTTGTTTTTTTAAAAAAAAGAAAATTCTGTCTCTTTAAAGCCATCCTTTCACCACCTCTTACCAGCATGACCAGGATGGGAACTCTAGGCATAAGGTCACTTGTGATACAAGGACCCGGCTTTCATTCAATCAATGCCATTATCCTTGAGCGTTTGTGCCTACTATGAATCATTCAGTATGCAATAGAACCTGCATGTAGTTGTATGTAGTTCAGCCTTTAGCTCAAAAACTCTGAGCCAAAGCTGCTTCAACATCAAACACTTACTGCAGATGTGTTTACCCTGTTTAGCAGTGGTATTCAGGAATTCTTCTACATGCTGCAGCCTTGGTACATCACCCGAACTGCCATCCTTAATAAGTTTTAATAGTATTGTTCTCTTACTTACGTTGCCTTTTATATATTTTATTTACTTTAACACCAGTTTGTGCCCCGTGTTAAAATTTAAGAATCGAAAAGACTTTTAAAACCTTACCAGAGACTCGCCAAACAGCTAGCTCCTTTTTCTGTAATAGGGCAAGAACCAATTCCAATCATCTGCAATGAATCTACTGCTGTTTCTGCCTGCCATAGGCTTCATTTATCACCTGCTCCTTTCAGTTATGTTGACCGTCTGTCTTGGTGTCCTTCTATTTCCTGCTCCTCTAGGCGCTGCTGCCTACTGTCTCAGAGTCCTCACCTCATCCACTTATCAGCTGAACATAGATTGCCATTTCCTCATCCGTCATTTCTGTGTTAAAATTTTGGAGATAACTATTGGCCTTTTCATTGTTGCTAAATCTTTAGAGTTAACATTTTTAAAAAAAATTTGTATGTTGCTATGACCTTACCCGTGGACTTTGGCTACCTTTTGACCAATGCTGTATTGACGTCTGGAGCTGAGTGGCAGAAGGAGCATGGGTAAGCAAGTTGCTGGTTAATAAATGCAGCTGATAGCACTGTTGACAATAACATCAGCATGTGTTTATTAATGTCTTTAGTATAATTATGTGTCTCAAAGTGCTTCACAGTACCATTATAAAACAAAATACAACATAATATTTGGTCAGAAGACCAAAAGTTTGGTCAAGCAGGCAGGTTTCGATGAGTTTCTGAAGTGAGGATAGCAAGGTGGAGCAGTAGACAGGTAATGAGGATATCCCAGAGCTTTGCCTGAATCAACCGAAACCAGTGGAGGAGCAATTAAAATTGCAGAAACCTGAGAAGCCAGAATTAGAGGAGCACATATTTTTCTGATGTTTGTGCATCTGGAGGAGATTAGAGGTATGGAGGGATAAAGCCAGGGAAAAAAATAATGTGGAAAAAGTTGAAAAGAAACTGAAAGTTTGAAAATCAAGACAATGCTTGACTCAAAGCCAATGTCACTCATCAAGCACATAGATTACAAGTGAATGGGACTTGCTGCGAGCAATGATATGGGCAGTAGAACTTTGAGTGCCCTCAAGTTTGTGAAGAGTATAGTGTGAGAGAACAGCCACACGTGTGTAGGAATAGTCAAGTCTTGAAGTAATAAAGGCAAGAATGCAGGTTTCAGCAGCAGATGCAGTGAGACTGCCGAAGTTGGGCAATGTTACAAAGGTGTGGGCCAGTTGTGTTGCCCTAACATTTTTGTTTTGTTCATTAATGATTTTGCTTGTTCGTAAAAATTAATCTTGCATAAGAGCTAACCCACATATCCAATAATGTGATACTAATATGAAGTGAGTAGGCATCAGCAGAAAATGCTCTCAGCCAAATGGGTCCCATTGAGAGGTGGATAAATGAGAGCAGTTCTCTACATTGCGACTTGCACAGAGACAAGAGGACACTTTTGCTAGCTGAAGCTTAGATGTAACCAGCTTCTAAAGAAATGTTCTGACAAACAGTTTCCTATTAGTGAGAGGAAATGTCGGCTTCTGCTGTGCTGAAAGTTACAGTTTTGTTCCTAGCACTGAACTGAGTTAAATTTTGCATCGAGTTGAAATCAGGTTTGGATTCAGAATTGATTTGAAAGATTACCTACATACTCCTCTAGTGTTGGGGACAGATGGGGAAGGGGGAAATAAATATCCTTGCCCAAGTTCCATAATAGCTTAAATGGATAACAGGAGCTCCTTATACATTAAAGTTCAGAAAGCTTGGACCTTGTAAATGAACTAATCTCGTCCAGAGCTACAGTCACATGAATACAATTGTATAAGTGCCACTTGGTTAAGGCATATAAAAGTGAGCCAGCGTTCCTACTCCTGAACTCTGATGGAAACTGCATGGCTGTGAACGTCACACTGACAGTTTTCTACTTTTCCTAAAGGACATGGCTGCTAGACTGGGACTGCAGCAGATCATGAGGGAAAAACACACCTGACCTCATCATATCTAATTTGCCTGCCACAGGTGCATCTGTCCATGATCTGTCCGTATTGGTAAATGTGAATGCTACACAATTGTTGTGGAGACAAAACCCCGTCTTTACATTGAGAATACTCTCCATCATGTTGCGTGGCACAAGAATCATGCTAAGTAAAATAAATTTTGAACAGATCTAGCGGCTCAAGACTAGGCATCTATGAGATGCTGTAGACCATTAGCAGCAGAATTGTACTCCAACACAATCTGCATCCTCATGGCCCAGCATATCTCCACTCTAGCATTACTGTCAAACCAGGGAATCAATCCTGGTTCAATGAAGAGTGCAGGAGGGCATGCCAAGAGCAACACAAGGTTTACCTAAAAGTGAGGTCTCAATCTAGTGAAGCTACAACTGGCCTCTTGTACGCCAGACTCCATAAGCAGCAAGTGGTAGACAGAGCTATCAATAGATCAAACTTAAGTTTTACAGTCCTTCCAAATCCAGCTGTGAATGGTAGTGGGCAATTAAAAAAATTCACTGGAGATGGAGGCTCCACAAATATCCCCATTCCCCCAATAATGGTTGAGCCCATCACATCAGTGTAAAAGCTAAGACTGAAGCAGTTGCAACAGTCTTCAGCCTGAAGTGCTGAGTGGTCGATCCATCTTGGCCTCCTCTAGAGGATCCCAGCATCACAGATGCTAGTCTTCGGCCAATTCGATTCAGTCCATATGATGTCAAGAAATAGCTGGAAGCACTGGATGGTGCAAATCCTACAGGTCCTGACAATGCTGCAGCAATAGTATTGAACACTTATGCACAGAACTACCCGAGCCCTTAGCCAAGCTGTTCCAGTACAGCTACAACACTAGCATCTACTTGACAAATCGGAAATTTACCTAAGTATGTCCTATCGACAAAAAGCAAATTCAACCAGGTTAATCTCCACCCCATCAGGCTACTCTCGATAATTAGTAAACTGATGTTGTCACCTGTGCTATCGAGCAGCACTTGTTTAGTAATAAGTTGCTTCACTCATGCCTAGCTTGGGATCCCCATTGGCCACTCAGCTCCTGACCTCAGCACAGCATTGGTTCAAACGTAGACAAAAGAACTGAATTCCAAAGCTGAGGTGAGAATGACTGTCCTTGACATCAAGGCTGTATTTGATCAAGTGCGGCACGAAAGAACCCTAGCAAAGCTGGATTCAGTGGGAATAGTGAAAACTTGACGTAAAGGAAGGTGATTTCTGAAAGTCACAAATGTCAATTCCCAGACATCTCTACGGGAGGCCCTCAGGGTCAGTATTTTCTAATCAATCTATTTAGAGATGTTATCGCACATCACTGGAGCAGATGAGACTTGAAATTCCTTGGGGTAATGTCTTGGGTCCAACCATTTTCTGCTGCTTCTTAAATACCCTTCCATCCAACATAAGTTCAGAGGTAGGGATGTTCACTGATGATTACACAATGTTCAGCATAATTCGCGGTTCTTCAGATACTGAAGCAGTCCAGGTTCAAATGGACCAAGACCTGGCCAGTATCCAGTTTTGGGCTGAAGTGGCAAGCAACATTTGTGACACACAAATTCCAAGCAGAGACCATCTCCAATAAGAGACAATCTAACGTTACTCCTTAACGTTCAGTGCAATCACAGTCTTTGAATCCAACATTCTAGGGGTTACCATTAACCAAAAACTGAACTGGACTAGCCATTTGGCTAGTCTTTTGGCATAAAAGCAGTTCAGAGGATAGGGATCCTGCAGCGTGCAGTTCATCTCCTGACTCCCCAAAGCCTGTCCACCATCTACACAGTTCATATCAAGAATGTGATGGAATACTCTCTGCTTATTTGAATTAGTGCAGCTTCGCCACATTCAAGAAGCTTGACATCGTCCAGGACAAAGCAGCCCACTTGATTGGGAACATAACTACAATTATTCAGTCGCTCCACCAGCGATGTTCAATAGCAGTAGTAGTACTGTCTGCAAGGTGCACTGCAGAAATTCACCAAAGTTTACATAGACGGCACCTTGCAAACCCACAATCGCTTCCATCTGTAAAGATAAGGTCAGCAGATGCAGGAGAACACCACCCTCATTCGCCGTTCTCGAACTTTGACTTGTATTGCTATTTCTTCACTGTCATTGGGTCAAAATACTGGAACTCCCTCACTAATGGCATTAAATTGCTCTGTCTACATCAAATAGACTGAACAGTTCAAGGAGGCAGCTCATCACCACCTTCTCACAAGCACCTAGGATGTACAAAAACCTGCTGGTTCAGCCAGTGAAGCCCACATCCCATGAGCAAATGAAAAATAGTTTGGTGCTAGACATAAACAATGGATAGGCTCTCAGATGAACAGAAACAAGCTCAACTTGTATTTATATAATGTGTCTGACATAGTAGAACATCCCAAGGTGTATTAAGATTGTTATCTGTCAAAGATTGACATGGAGCCACATCATAGAGCATTTAACCAAACGCTATGCCAGATAGCTACAATTGAGTAACATCTCATTTAAAGAAATAATTCAAGTCCTAGGACTTTATGCAGCAGAGGACTTGGCCATCTACAGTGGGGTGGATAAAATCTGATAAGTGCAAGAGGGCAGAATTGGGTTTGGGTCCTTGGATCAGGAATACCAGCATCCATAGAACCATGTGATCCCCAGTCTCTGTTCGTGCTTTGGTTAGTGGCTAGCAGGAGGACATTTAGGGTTATAGAATTCTCATTGTTTAACAGGTAATATTACAAAGATATTTGTTTTTGTTCCTGTCAGGCACTTGAAATGAACGCAGAAAGATGTTCAAAACCATCCGCTGCTTTCTTCCCCACCTCTCTGAGCAAACTCGACGAGGTCCTTCATGGTGGGTTAGCCTGTGGAACCCTGACTGAGGTATTGTTCAAGAAATCTCGCACTTCGTACCAATCTTGTCCATTGTTGAAAGCTCATTTTAATACTGACATATATCACAGCACAATATGTACATCAGGTCATGATGGAATTAGATTAGGCTCTGATTTCAAAATGCACATGCCACCCAGTATTGACTGAACCCCTCACAGACCATATTTGCTCTGGTGAGCTCTCCAATGTTGGATATTTGTTCAGGAGCTGTGATTCAAGTTAGATGATCTGTCGCCAAGTTGTTTCAGTTTTGATCTGTAATTTATCTTTTTTCACCCACCTTGCTTAGAACAGCTGTGTTCATCCAGTCAGCAATGGGGACATTAATTCTTGTTATTCTTTAAATAGGAATTGCTGAGTTTGAAAGATTGGGGAAAGTCTCAGTCCCTGTGTTGAAATAAATTGCCCACATTCATGAAGTCGAAACTGGAGTTGGAGTATGACGAGAGTGAACCACGTATAATGACGGGACTACTGATATGCTAACTTCAGGAAACTTGCATCTGGGGAGAGAAATTGTGATCAATTTTATTTTGAGTTTTTCCTCTGTATCAATTTGTCAATCTCTGCAGTTGCTTCGGTAGTTACGGGAAAGTGACGATGTTTTCTGGACAACTTGAGAAGCTTTAACATGATGCAAGATGACAGGGCTCCTGGATGGAAGTACTGTGTTTCATGCTGAGTTCAGCACTCCAAATCTCTGTACAAGCCTAAATTGCAACTGAAAGTCACATTCAGTTTTCAGCTCATGAATTGCTGACAATGTGAAAATTGTACATTGAGACAACAAAGTTACTTAAGTCAGTATTGAAATCAGAATACCAGGTCTTCCACAAAACTTGCACTATTTTTGAATTGTGATTGCCATTTGTAGTTGTAGACTTGCTGCACTTGCAATCCGCCTAAAAATAATGAGTAATGCTGGAGACATGGCTTTTATTCTTTATAGTTTAGAAGAATGAGAGGTGACCTTTTGAGAGGGGCTTGACAGCACACATTGAGAGGATGTTTCCCTTTGCTAAGATGTCTAGAACTCGGGAGTCATAGACTCAGAATAAGGAATCCACCATCTAGGACTGAGACAAGGAGAAATGTCTTCGCTCAGGATGTTGTAAATCTTTGGAATTTTCATCAGAATTGTGGATGTTTAGTTGTTCCTATATTTGACTTAGTTTCTTTGCATGGTAAGGGAATTGAGGGATATGGGGATAGTTCAGGAAGGTAAGGTTAAGGTAGAACTCAACAATAATTTTATTGAATAATAGAACAAGCTTGAGGTTCTGAATAGTCTAGTCATGATTCTTTCTCTTAGCATCTTAAATAATGACCAGGCCCCCCTGGTGGTCCCACTATTTGTGGGCTACAGCCTTTTCCACTCTTCTTCCTGAAGCATGCAACTTGAGCTATGTCGTGGCTGCTGCTCACTGACATCCCTGCACATCTATCATAGGTGTGTCTATGTGGCAGCTATAACCAATTTATTTCTTCTCCTTCAAAGACACATTTAAGGTCTAGTGTAATAACTTGATTGGTACGATAGACTGGGAATAGACTGGGAAATCAAACATGGGACTAGTGTGTGATCTGGACCATAAATGGCATGAATTTGAAAACTGCTGAGGTCATTCTGCTGAGGTAGAATGGTGTATATGTAGCCTAGTGTGCTAGGGCCTGACTGACTGCATTTTGGACTCCAACTGTATGAATTAATTTTTAGAATATATTTTGTTTTAACTGTAAGGCATGTGTTATTGTACAAAGCTGATGGCCCGGTGGATTTTCTTGTTGGATTTTGTTCACAGAACAGTTCCCAATTAAGGTTTCCTGTTTTTAGGTGACTGGTCCTTCGGGCTGTGGAAAAACACAATTTTGTATGATGCTGAGCGTGTTGGCCACCTTGCCTGTCAGTATGGGTGGTCTGGATGGAACAGTCATTTACATTGACACCGAGTCTGCTTTTAGTGCTGAAAGGTGAGAGAAATAATTAGGATTTCTAATAATTCAGTATATACCAACATTGTGGTTATGGCACTAGACCCTAAAGCCAAATGTGGAGTGTTCAAATCCTGCCATGGGATGCTGAGAAATTGAATTGAATAAATCTAGTGTTTTTTTTTTTTTGGTGAGTATTTCATTCCTATACTTTTTTGGGGAAGAGAACCTTTCACTGTTACTTGGTCTGACCTGTACCTGACTCCAGTCCCACAGTAATTGGTTGATTCTTGAACTGCCCTAGCAGTTGGGCCTGTTGTAATTCATGAATGAAGAAATCCGGCAAATCAATAGTGACCAAGATACCTTACTGGAACAAAAGAAGGCAGTTTTGTGCTAGTTAATCTTCGCAAGACCCTCCTCAGCAACATCTCCAGCTATTTCCAAAACTGGGAGAACTGTTCCATACTCAAGTCAGCCAACAGCTTGACTGTACACATTGTAGAATTCTATCCATCAGCTATCATCTCTATCTCCTTACCAGGACATGAGGAGCAATTTTTTTTTTAACAGAGAGAGTAGTTTGTATATGGAATGAACTGCGAGAAAGTGATGGATGCAGGTACAGTTACAATATTTAAAAGACGTTTGGATAAGTTCATGAATAGGAAAGGTTTGGAGGGACATAGGCCAAGTGCAGGAAGGTGGGACTAGTTTAGTACGGGAATGTGGTCGACATGGACTCCTTGGATGGAAGGGTCTGTCTTGATGCTGTGTGACTTTATAACATCCCTGCCTCCTGCCTCCTCCCTCACCATCCTTGAGTACATCCAGTAAACGTGGATCCAGCAAAGGTAGGCGGATAATGTTGTGCTGTATGCTCAACATTAACTTCAATAAAATTTCCCATTGATCATGACAAAAAAACAACTCATTAGGATTCTTAATTTCCTGGAGGAGGCAAGAGCATTGAATGTACTCTGTGTGAGAAACTTCAATGGCCACCATCGAGTTGTTCACCACTAAAATTATTCCTGGCTAATTCCTGAAGGCCATAACTGTAGCATTTCCAGCACTGTTCTCATCTTTATGTTATTAAGTGGAACAAGACTAAGGATATCTAAGCAATTCTTTCATTACACCATCTGCAGTGGTAGAATTGTCTAATACCATAAAGTGTAACCTTGTGGCTTTGTATAACCCTCACTCCACCTTCAGGCTGGAATAGTAACCCTGGTAGAAGGTGACAGGAGCAGACCCAGATATATTCTTGAATGAAATATAGATCTAATAGTTACTACGCAGTGCTGTTTGCATGCTAAGTTACAGAGGTAAAGTTAAACAGTCCTGGAATCCAAGGTACATTAATTATTTACTTCTTCGCTACTTTCTATTGGTTAAAATCAGGGTTCAAACTTGCATGAGTAGTGGAACTGAAATTTGAGGTGAGCAGATTAACAAGAGATATGTTTGTAGATTAAAATTTAGACAAGTGTGATACTGGTGAAATAGCCGCAGGACTTGTTTTTGAGTCTTTTTTTTCCAGAGCTTTCAGCAACTTGACTCAGTTGATAGCGTGCCCACCTTTGACTTAGAAACAGCTGATGTGGAGACTAGTCATTGTGGTGCTGAGAGTGTTTTGGTTTGTAGCTGGTGCTACCTTTCAGACAAAATGTTAGCCTGGAATTGCTGTTTGGCTGTTCCAGTCAATTTAAGTGGGTGGCATAGATCTTATGACTTTTTGAGGAGCTGGAACTATTCCCAGACTCCTGACTAACATTCCTTCCTCAAGCAGCATTGTCAATTGCAAATGAACTGTTGGTGGGATATTGCTATATGTTTAGAGTATATATTTTCTTAGGAAACATGTATTGATATATAAGTGATTGGTAGACTGTGACACTAAGGTTTAGGGAGTTCCCAAAAGCCTGTGTCTGCTGCACTGCTCTTTTGGGAGAAATTAATTGCAGTTGTATGCTGTTGTGGAGTGTGTTCAGCTTCATTATGCTGTGTGAGCTCTCTTGATGGAGTTCATATTTCTGTACTTTATAACCTTGTCTTTGTTGTGTTTCAGGCTAATAGAGATAGCAAGGTGTCGATTCCCTAATTACTTCCATGAAAACCAGAAGCTGATTGCAATGACCAACAGAATTCACTTGTACCGTGAACTCACTTGCTTGGATGTGCTCAAAAGGTATCTGTTGTTGCGTTTTACAGAAACCGAAATTGTTGAAGAAACTCAGTAGGTCTGGCAGCATCAGAGTCCCTTCTTTGGTGGTCGTTTCCTTTTGTTTGACTTGAATTTCGTTCTCTATCCATCCTTAACACTCTAATACTCCTGTTTGGAGAACGTGAAAGGAAAAGATCAGCTTTGTGTTTATTATGCTTCATTTCCTCAGTGTCCCAAAGTTCGTTCTTCCCTTTTCTTTTGTCCTCCATTCTTTTGCAACAATGTAACATACTAGTCTCAAGGTACTTTGCAGAAGCATTATAAAACCAACATGACACCTTATAAAGAGATATTAGTTCAACTGACAAAAAAAAATTTGGTGCAAGAGGTAGATTTTAAGGAATAGTTGGGGAGGGGAAGGAAGAAAGACGCTGCTTTACTGGTATTGATCTAAATCAGCTTAGTTACATTGTTGTTTAGGCAACAGTGACGTAACAAAGATAAGACCAAAAGAAATATGAACAGGAGTAGGCTATTCGAGCCCTCAAGCCTGCTCTGCCATTCAGTAGAACTGTGGCTGATCCAACATTCCTCATATCTACTTTCCTGCATTTTCCCCATAACCCTTGATTCGCATACTGATCAAGAATCAGCATCTATCTTGGCCTTAAATATACACAAGTATTCTGCTCCCACCGCTCTCTGTGGCAAGGAATTCTAAAGGCACACAACCGTCACATACCTCCTGTTCTCAGATTTAAATTGGCATTACTTTATTCTCAGACTATGCCCTCTGGTCTTAGATTCTCCCATGAGGGGAAACACCCTCTCAGCATTTACCCTATCAAACCCTTAAATATCCTATATGTTTCAATGAGATCATCTGTCATTCTTCTAATCCTGCCGTGAGTAGAGTCCAATCTGTTTAGCCTTTGCTCATAAGAGTATCTTTCTATTCCAGGGATCATCCTAGTTAACCTTCTCTGAACTGCCTCCAATGAAATCACCTCTTTCCCTAAATAAGACCATAAAAGCCTCAAGTCTGGAGGTCATTATGTAGAATATGGATGATCCTTGACCCCAACTCCATTTCAACTCATCCCTACCTCCCCAATCCTCCTATACCTGATTCCTTAAAAATCCCAAAATCTATCGATCAGCCATTGAGCGCGTACAATCCTCTGGTATTGAGAATTCCAATCTACCGAATTTTTTTTTCACACCCCAGTTCCCAGATTGCTGACGTATTATCCCGACACCAGCCCTTGTTCTAGACTCTGTTCGACCAGGGAAAACAGCTTCTCAGAGTCTCATCTGTCAAGCTACTATCCACAGTAGTAGAATACCACCACTGTCATTTGTTGGCATCTTATCAAATGTCTTATGAAATCTAAATATATTGTTTCCTTTACTCACCCTGCAAGTTACAACCTCAAAGTCTAATAAATGTGACAAACACAACTGGCCTGTTATAGAACCATGTTAATAGAAACGTAGAAAATAGGAGCAGGCATAGGCTATTCGGACCTTTTGAACTTGCTCCTCTGTTCAATATGATCATGTCTGATCATCCAACTCAGTACCCTGTTCCCACTTTCACCCCATGCCCTTTGATCCCTTCAGCTCCAAGAACTATATCTAACATTCTTAAAAACATTCAATGCTTTAGCTTCAACTGGTTTGTGTGGCAGAGAATTCCGCAGGCTCACCTCCTTCTAGCTGAAGAAATTTTTCCTGATCTCAGTTCTAAATAGTCCATCCCGTATCCTTGGACCATGATGCCTGGTTCTGGACTGCCCCAGTAGTCAGGTACATTTGGACCTCTGCATAAACATAAAATAAAGACTTTACAAATTAAGCAGTAAAAATACTATATATACCCTCCAGAAGTTATTCACCTAATCGCCTACTTCGTCTTGCCCCACGTCACTCTTTGAATCCTCACTTCATTGAGCTCCACTCTGGTTTAAGTAACGTTTGCTGTACTGCAACTTCTAAACTGTTCCTTCTGCTGTGCTGTACTGCGTCCCTCCGGGTATGGCCTCTCTGCAGTCTCCAGTGTTCCTGAAAAACAGGTGTCTGTGTCAGGTCTTGATCTGAAATTTTTTTTTGACCTTCCTGTTTTCAAATCCACCCTTTCCAATGCCAGCCAATGAACTCAGAGACTTTCTGTAATGTCGCTCTTGTTTTTTTTTCCCCCAACAAGAACTGACTGCAAATCACACTTCCCAGTCTGCTTCACTGTGACTGAGAGTGAACAGAGATCACAAAGGTTCACAAAGATTAGAGGGAGCAGATCTAGGACTGAACTGAGAAGGAATTTCTTCACCCAGAGGGTTGTTAATCTATGGAATTCCTTGCCCAGTGAAGTAGTTGACGCTACTTCAGTAAACGCTTTTTAAAAAAAAGGTAGATTTTTTTTGAACAATAAAGGAATTAAGGGATACGGTGAGAACGCGGGTAAGTGGATCTGAGTCCACGAAAGGATCAGCCATGATCTTATTGAATGGCGGAGCAGGCTCGAAGGGCCAGACGGCCTACTCCTGCTCCTAGTTCTTGTGTTCTTGTGTACAGGCCTTTCTTGCCTGTCTGTTTAACTGTGATGGTGAGTACGAGCCTGTCTTCTCAATCTACCTCAGTGCAGTGCTGACTGCAGGACACTCTTCCCACTCTGCTTCACTGCGACAGTGACGGTAGGCCTCTCCCCCTATCCCATGTCTTTTCTGAAAGAAAAAGATGCTTTTAGGATAAGGATTGGTGAAGTTGACTGCAGGGTAAAGGATGGTTGCCTGCCGTGACTTGTTCTCCCGTGAAGAATGGCTGTGTGAATGACACACAGGAGAAACCAAAGTGCTCGGACAGCACCCAGTGAAAATCAGCACTTTTGGAGTGTGGGGAGAAAGATGTTTTTCTTTTAGTAGGGAACATTACCATTCATTACATATACTTCAGTTTTCAGACAAAATGCTTTCATTTCTACTCCACCTTTCACTACCTTAGGGACACGCTGAAGTATTTTGCAGTCAGTGAAGTTTGAAGCACAGTTACTGTTGTAAGAGATGTGTTATTCAATTTACCCACGGCAAGGTTCCACAAACATCAATGAGTTGGTGGTCAGATAAGCTGTTTTGGTGATTGTTGGATAAATATTGGCTAGGATACCAAGGCGCTGTGCCTTATCTTTTTTCAACATGATGCAAGGGATCTTTTGCATTCATCTGAGAGGGTATTCAGGGCTCTGGTGAACGTCTTGCCCCAAAGATGGTGTCTCTCTGAGTGTAGCGCTCCGCAATATTGCATTGGAATGTCAGCCTTGATTTTTGTGAGTGAGACTCTGGACATGAACTCGCAAGATTCTGAGAGGTGAGAATACTGACATAGTTGAGTCGAACTGGTTGAAGGGGTCAGATGAAAGCCTTACTTGTGATTAATGGAGAAGATCAGTTGCAAAGTGTGAACTGCCACAAAACATATCTAGAGCTGAATACTTGGTATTGGTTAGGCTAGCGAGGGTTAAAGGTGTTTAAAATTATGAGAGGATTGGATAATGAAGGAAGCACTATTGTTTCCTATGAACGAAAACTTGGGAACAAAGGGAATTGCCTCTGTAACGGCACTGTGGGTCAACCTACAGCTCATTGGACCACAGCGGTTCAAAAAGGCTGTTCAACAGCACATTCTCAAGAGCAACAAAGGATGGGCAATAAACGCTGGCCATCCAGCGATGCTGACATCCTGTGAGTGAATGAAAAAATGTCAATACCAGATTAAAGACAAGAATCTTAGAATAAAGAACAGAGTAACATTTTTAGTATTGATAGTAAGATAAAGATGCATGAATGGTTTAGAATTTTTTGATTTGAAAGTATGAATGAAATAAACTTTTGGTTTCAGTTATGTCAAAGGAATCATTTTTAAAAAGGTCGGAAAGTTATTTGGAACATGGGAACGAAAGTGTAATTTCCAAGAAGGCGTGTGATTTACGTGCCTACTAGGATATCAGTGGTGTCAATTGAAGAAGTATTTACGAAGTTGAATTTTAATGACATGTAGAGAAAGCAGTTCAGGAGCCATTGAGTTTCAGTTTAGAAGAATCAGATTTTCAGTGCAGAAGAGCAGTTTAATTCTGAAGTTTCCGAGCTGTGAGGGTTTGTGTCGGTGGTTTCAAGCAATCAGAAGTGAAAAGATGTTTAAGGCTGTCATAATTCAGATAATTAGAATCGTAAAGAAGCCATCAAAACAGAAAGAGTTGTCAAATAAGAAATTAAAATGTTAAGGTAACAGTGGCACCTTGTGAGTATGGTCAGTAACTGACCATCATGAGAACTAACTTCAGAAACTGAACTTATGATCCATCAAAGATAGTAGGAACTGCAGATGCTGGAGAATCCGAGACAACAAGGTGCAGGGCTGGATGAACACAGCAGGCCAAGCAGCATCATAGAAAGGCTGACGTTTCGGGCCTAGACCCTTCATCAGAAAAGGGGG